TAAAAAATTTCAATAAAAGTGCTTAAATTAGGAACGGGTTTTAATTTAAAAAAATAAAGAGAGGAGGGTCCCAATTTTATGACAACCTTTTTAAGGGTGGTATAAGAAAAAAGGACAACTGGTGATAAAGAAGGGGGTAGGGAGGGGTCGAATATTGTCTGAAATTTGGTGGCGTCCTTTATGGACAACCCCGCAACACATAAATTAAGGCGTTGCTATGGATAAAAATTGATACTGAATCATTTTAAACAATGATTAAATGCAGATACCAAAGATATTTTGCAATCCAAGAAAAAAAAAAAAGAATTTACTATGATTATATTAATATAAAAATGAGTTTAAAAAAAAATGATTATTTCAATTTTATTTACTGTATTACCCCTTTATACATTCTTTCAACACTTTCTGTGAAAACAGAATTAAGAGTTGTTGAGCTTATAAGATCTTTTGTTTTACATTAAGCTTTAGTTGTCAACGATGTACAGTCATTCCGGGTAACTTTGAACGCTTTGCGCTAGGTTTATCTCAAAATTTTTTTTACAAACTAGTATACAAATATTTTTACATAAAAGGTGTTCTGATGATCTCTTTTTTCAAGTTTGTTATCATTTTTTTAAATTTCCTAGTTATTTTGTTAAAAAACAAAGTTCAAGTAGGGATTCAAAGTTACACTTGCATTAGGGTAACTTTAGACACTATTAAATTAAATGTCAGTTTTAATTAGTTAAATCTAAAAAGTTGTTTAAATTTCGTTGTATTAGCTCAAATTAATTTTTAAAAAAATTTAATTAATCTATATTGAGAATAAACAAACAAATTTTTCAATAAAATATTAGAAATCACTATATAAACTTGTTGATCAATTTTTAAGGTTATGAAAGAAAAAATAATTAAGACATCATTTCTATATAATTCTACACAAATAAACACATGTGACTATAAAACTAAATATTACATTATTTTAGTCTTGAGTCACAACTAACTCTTTAATCGAATAATTATGATCATGGAAAACAAGTATATTGTGATTGTTTATTTGCTCTAATGAAGAACCTGCATCATTTTGAGATACAACTTGCTTACTGTTTTTAATAACTTGATTAACATCTACAATGCTTGAACTTTGTGAAACATTTTTTTTGTTTATTTTCATAATTATATTTTTTGATACAAGTGGTTTTCCTTTTTTTTTTATTCAAATATTATCTTGATTTTTTTTCTTATTGTCTCTTAACTTATAGTATGCTTCTACCTCAGTGGCTGATACACTTTTCCCTGCTGTTATTGGTAACTTGGATTTTTTGCTTGCTTCATAATTAAGATTAGATGTATGAATTTCATCGACATATTTCCTAAACGATTCTCTAATATTGAGATGAATATCTATATTTGTAAAACTGGGTATTTCGAGAGAACATGTTCAGGGTCAAATGGATATATGCCAGTAGCCTTAAATCCTGCTTGTAGATTATGTTCTAGATTTTCTTTACCAACATTAAAAGTAGACTTAATGAGCTGCGAAAACAAGTTTTTTGGTAGGTTATTAACTTTTTTCCCATGGGATGTTTTACGCCATTGGTTAAGAACTGACCTCCAATTAGCTTTTAAACTCGAGAAATACCCAGCATCTAGAGGTTGTAAAAGGTGCGTGGAATTGGGTACCAAACATATAAATGTTATATTATGCTTTTCACATATTTTTAAGGCTTTTAAAGATATATGAGCACTTAAATTATCAAAAATCAGAATTTTTTTACCTTCCTTATTTATAATATTTGGGACAAAAAGATTTAACAGCCACTCTTCAAATATTTGAATTTCCATCCAGCCACTGCAAGAAGTTCCCATTCTTGATCCTTCTGGTGCATTAAAAAGCCAGTCAGACCAACTGTGTTTTCCTTTAAAAATGAAAAATGGTGGAATTAGCTTTCCTGAGGCATCGACGAAAAATAAGTTTTTTTTTTCCAGGGTCGTCATGAAACCCTATTTCATTCATATTATAAATGTTTTCTGGCGTTACTCCATTTAATTCCTTCTCTAGATTTTGAAAAATTAATTCTATTTGACAATAATTAACCTGTGCACGTTTCCTTGAAATACAATGAGATACTTTTTCTTTTAATGATGGATGTCTGTCAAGATAAAGTCTACACCACTCCCAACCTGGTCAGTTATCTTTGAACTGTTGTATATCTTTTCCACTATCATCGATATATATATATATATATATATATATATATATATATATATATATATATATATATATATATATATATATATATATATATACATATATATATATACATATATATATATATATATATATATATACATATATATATATATATATATATATATATATATATATATATATATATATATATATATATATATATATATATATATATTTATATATATATATATATGTATATATATTATCCTTTTGTTAAAGCAACAGACAAAGAAAATATCAAAGAAAAAAAAATTTAAAAACATTTACACGTTTTATTCAATGTTACACGCAAATTCAAAGTTACCCAGAATGACTGAATTGTTCTGTATCATGCAGATTAAATAAACAAAAACATTCATTGTATGTATCATGCAGTGTGTGATTTTTAAAAATACTTTTTGCAGTGTGTGATTTTTAAAATACGTTTAGTTCAATTACACGGAACGGGCGTATTCCGTAAACCCATCAGCAGCTAGCTGTGCTAGGTCGTGCGAAATTGCGCACAAGATGATGTGCTGTAGTAATTATGGTAGCTGATCGAGTTTTGCTTTGAAAAGGTTGACACTGATAGCACTGACAACTTTTTTTGGCAATGCTTTCCATGAATTGGCAACGCAGTTGTTGAAGAAATTATAGCGAACGAGGCAGTTATTGTCCATTTATCAATGAAAGCGCTTGCGATGATCGTAGCTTGGTGGGATGTTTGGTGGATCGATATACCAGCTAAAAAAAATTAAGAGTCAATATTGTTTTCAATTTTGTATTTTTGTATGAGGTCGTTTATTTAGTAGAGAGCTGAGGCCGAGTTTGATGCAACATGTAATTGAAGACTTTATTTCGTGCGGTTCTTTGGTAGCCCGATGGTGTATGCGTTCTATGACATTAATATGTTTCTCAAGTTAAGGGCATCAGGCAGCGACTGTAAACTCAAGATGTGGGCGTATATAGGTGGTGTAAGGTTTTTCCACATTTTGGTGTCTCTGCTGATAAATTTGTTTTTCAAGAATCCAAGGACTTTGTTTGCCTATGCAACGGCTATATTTGCTTGCATTTTATGCTTTAAGTCATTAGAAATTTGAACGTCTAGGTCTTTTTCGAATGTTGAAGATTCGAGTTTTGTTCTAAAGAACACTGCCGTTAGCGTCGTGCTCGTTCATCAAGTAAACATGTGGGGAGGCAATGTGTTTGCTGAAATATATAATCTTACATATCATGTTTTTTTTTTCTTTTATTACTTGTTTCTTTACATTACATGTTGAGTTCCATCAATCAGGTTCTAGTCCAGTTGACAATGCTATCTATATCAGATTACAGACGAGCTTTGTCTTCAACGGTTTCAACGACGGTCAGGACTTTAGTATCGTCTGCATACATTTTACATAAGTTTTGGCTATTGATGTGTTAAGGTAAGTCGTTATAAATATTATGAACAGCGCAGCATCTAACTCTAAACCTTGCGGAAAGCCGCTGGTAACTTTTACCCAGGTGAATAATGTATTACTTAGAAGAACACACTCTGAACGATCTGAAGAGAAAGTATTTATCCAGTTTAGAATGTTACCTTCGATTCCGTAGGATTCAAGTTTTTGTCGTATTCTTCTGTGACGTACTTTATTGAAGGCTTTGGCGAAGTCAAGAGCAGCCGTGACACAGTAGTTAGAGTTCTGGCTCAGAACCCAGAGGTCCGAGGTTCGACGTCGGCTCCAGCCCAATAAGCGACATTAGTATAGAAGGAGTGAACTTCTAGTCAAATGCTCTCCCGTGATAAGACCTTAAAGACTTCTAGGAGTACCTAAACAACCTAAAAAAAAAGCACGCCTACTGGAAGCTTGCGAGAACACTAAGATCTAAAGATAATTTATTTATTATCAAAAAGATAAAAAATAATACTCTGACACTGCATTTAGCCTTTCCCCCCCCCCCCCCATTTTCTTAACAGTTTCAAAACAACTTTCATGATTACAACAGCGGAATTATCATTTTCCAGTGTGCAATGACTCAGTCACAATTATACATCACCGTGAAAAAGTTTATCTATAAAACTGTTTAAGATACTATTGCATACTATTTTTTTAATGAATGTGTGCTGGCAAAAGATGACTAACCACGTAATAAGATGATTAATCACGTTGCGTGTGATAAGCAGTTGAATAAATAGATCATTTTTATCTATTTTGCAATATCATACGAAATTGAGAAACTTTTTCCTTTTTAATATATGTTTTCAGCCCTCCCTTCCCCCAACTTTAGCGACCTTCCTACGCCGCTGATAATAAATATCTGTATATTTAATACTCATTATTTACCAAATAAATATTCACAAATAATAGTTTCATACATATAAAGTTGATAAATAATGAGTATGTCTAACACACATTTATTTGGTAAATAATGAGTATATTTATCACATATTTGTTTAGCAAATAGTCAGTATTTAACTGAGTAAATAATGGATGGAAACTTATTAAACGACAATACTAGATATAATTATTGTTTTTGCATGTTAAAGAATTTTTTATTATTTATTTTTAATGGTATTTTTATAGCACAAAATGCTTTATTGGTATTTTTGTTGGTACTTTGTTTCGTTCATGATAGCGATGGAAAAATTATATTTTGATTTAATAACAATTTGTTTTTTATACATATTACTTTCTTATAAATTCAAATCATGATAAAATGAGAATAGGTGTTAAAATAATTTAAACACTGATAACAACTTAAAAAAAAAATACATAAAAAACTATGCAATAAAAACACGAACAGCTATGCAATAAATACTCGAGAAAGTAATTTTCATCAAAATTATTTATACAAAAATTGATAAAAAAAGTGCGTTCCAAATATTTCCTTATTATTATAAATACGACAATAATTTATAACAATAACTATAATACATCTTATTTTCATGCTGTGATTTTTAATAATGGTCAAAATTAAAAAAAAAAACCCAACTAAACGAAAAACAAAATAGCGCACGTAAAAAAGCTTTACAAAAGTTGGTCAGGCGACAAAGAAAAAAAAAAAATTAATATATAGATAAAAACAAAGTATATAAAAAAAATTAATATAAAAAATTAGATTGAAACTATTATTTTGATTTTTAATGAAAAAAATTTGCAATTAAACTAATTTTTATAAATAATGACTTTGCACTAGACACGAACAAATGCTAAACGTTTCCGTATTCGTACCAAGTTTTGCGTTTGCTTTGACGAGTAGAGTCACTCCGTCGGAAAGAGCTCTGATGTTCGTCGCTATTTTCTAAATTTAAACTTTTATGTTTATTACGATTGATGTCAGTAAAGTTGCTTGACTCTTTTTCAATATCACTATTAAGCGGTCGAGGTTCCATTTGCTCAATTTCATAGCGTCGGAAAGAAGATCTGTGCTCACGGTTCCCAAAATAGACGGGAATCGGAGGAGATAAACTTTTTCCACGTGAATCTCGTTGATAGAATATATTTTGCTTTTCTTGTCGCTTATTTTCAGAAGTATTTGATAATTTACTGCTACTTCGAGTACTTCTAACAGAATCACTTCTTTGGAAAAAAAAAGTCCCACGATTGTCTGTTAGGACCTCATAGGATCTGTTGTCATTATTAAGCGGCATAGAAGAACGACGTTGAATTTTTTCATGAGAAGAATTTTCGGCGTGTTCATCTTGAACTTCAAACGCCTGATTTGTTTCATTTGAAGAAATGTAACTTAGAGATCGCTCTGAAAAATCTTCCGTTTCCCGCGCCATATAGTCCTATTTCAAAAACAGTTATATGAAAATGAGTTATATAGAAAATACAAATAATAACAGTTTTATAGAAAATATGAGTAATAATAGTGGTTATAGAGAAAAAAAAAAGTAATAATAAAGGTAATGAAAGAATGCGAGTAGTAATCGAGGGCTATACAGTTAAAAACAATCAAATTCATAATAGAAATACATAAAACACAAAAAATGACATAAAAAAAAAGAATCTTACTAAGCATTCATTCAAAATTTCGTTGTCTTTAGGAGTTTTTAAAACTTCTGCTGTTGTAATTTGTTTAACAAGAACTTTTTGTATAGGAGTATTATTTCCTTCAACGGATGATCTATCAGACTGATTTCCATTTGAAGATGATTTAGAAGGACTTGTCGTTTTGTATTCTAAACAAATTCGCATGTTAAAATAGCATCAGAGTATTATTATTTTTAATTAAAGCTAACTTCAAACAATTTTAACTTGATCATATACAATTTAAAAAAAAGACCTTCAAAATGCTGTTCCCGAGAAGGAAAAGAACGTTCATTAGAGGAGCTAGTTGAGAAGTCAAGAGGATTTTGAAAAGAGATACCAGATTGACTGACATTTTCTAAACTTCTAAATAAATCTTTTCTTCTGTTCAAAGGACTTTCTAAGTCATTAAAACCAAAGAACTCTGATTTAGGACGATTTTTAAAACTGTATTTGCTCGATGTATCACTTTCGGATGAATTATCATTGATAAAAGATGGTCTTTTTTCATGATCAATATTTGTAACGTCTGCCCGACCTTTAGAAACTAACCCACGTATGGTTGTAGGAGTTGGGGCTTTTATTACAGAGTCTAGCGATGTTATTTTTGGCCTGTTTGATAACTGACCATCACTGGATAAACTCAACTCTCCTATATCTGTATTAGATGTCTTCTATATTTCAACATAAACAAATAAATTTTAAGTATATATATATATATATATATATATATATATATATATATATATATATATATATATATATATATATATATATATATATATATATATATATATATATATATATATATATATATATATAAAATAAGTAATGAAAAAATAGACACAAAACTAACACTGCAAAGCTGTACAAAAAAACAAACAAATTAAATAAAAAATTGAGCCTCAATTAACTAATTCAATTAAATGGTTAAAACAAAAATATTTTGGAATACTAGATAAATCATTAAGACAGTGATGCTCTTCCTGGAATACTTTTCAAGTAATTTTTATTATTGAGAACAATGCTTTGACAAATATAATACTCCAGATAGAAGGCAATAACAAAATGAAAAAATATAATAAAAAAAAGTTTAAAGGGGTTGGTAATTAAAAAACCTGTAGCTCAAGATTATGAACATAAGTTAATGTTAAGAATATAATGTTAAGAATATAAGAACATAAGTTAATGTTAAGAGCAATATATTAGAAAGTTTGTAAAATGCAGAATTAAGTAAGTGATAGTTTTTTGAAATTATTGCACCTTTTTTAAACCAACTTTTTTGAAAATTTTATTTGTTCCACGCCAAAGAGCACCTTTCCTAAGAAAAATATAAACAAAAGATTAAGGTCACAATTTATTTCAATTCATTTAATCTAACTACCCACACAAATGTTATCAAAAAAGCATTTTGATAAGTGTTTATTAGTATACTTTTTATTTCCAGTATCTTGTAAAGCTCGTTCAGCGGCCTGGACTTTCTCAGCAAGTATTTCTCTTTCTCTCTCCAAACCGTAAATATGGTCACTAAAAAAAAAACAGTAAAAAATTAATATTTTTTAAAGAAATCAACAACAACAAAAAAAAGTGAGGATTAGGAATCAATTTTTTTTTAAATTATATTTTTAATTCTAGATTTTTTTCTAAAAACAATTATTATTACGAGAATATTCTTTCATCATCTAAAAACTGATCCCGAGATTGTAGTGTTGAAAACAGTAACTCTTTACTCTAAAAAAAACATGAACTGTGATTAATATTAACAAAAAATAGAATAAAATTAAAAAAAACAGTATCAGTGATAGATTAGTTAAAACTCTTTATAAGTAAGAGTTTTGGAAGTTAAACCCTGGAACATCCTTTGTAGGGGCATTCAGTCATTAAATTGACTGAGGGTCTGAGTTTTAGACAGAAAATATCTACATATGAAGGATTGTAACTATAGTAATATGAAGGATAACTATAGCAACATATAAAGGACTGCAACTATAGCAAAATGAAGGATTGTAACTATAGCAACATATGAAGGATTGTAACTATAGCAAGTAAAAGATTTGTTAACACAAATTACCATCAAATTGCACATTTTTTGCTCTTCACAAAATGAAATGAATGTTACCTGAAAAATTAGTCACAACATTACCTGTAATATTAACTTGTTATTCTGATCAATTAAAGCTTTATTTTCCTCATCTAAAGTGTGATTCATTTGAACAAGAAGCTAAAATAAAAAAGTTGAAAAACATTACCAAACAATTTTAACTGATAAAATAATAATTGTAGAAATGATAAGCACTATAGTGGAAAGAGCAAGTACAATTAAATGATAGTAGATTGTACAATTATTAAACAAGTTACACTTGAATTACTTAAAAGCTTATTTTTTGCTTAAAACTAAACAAAAAGAAATTTAATCCAATCAAAGCAAATAAATTATTTTGAATATGAACAAGTAATCTAACAAAAAATGAAACAGAATTGATATCAGCATCAAGAATAAAAATAGAAGTAAAATTTTAAATTATTACTGAGCCAAAATTATTGAACACAAAATTAAAATTTAACAGAATTTCTTTTTAACTATTTATTTACACTTCCTTTATTGTTGTTGCACATGTCTGACCAACAATCTGGTCACGTGCTCTATGCCTTGTTTGCCAATCTTTTATGCTTGACTACTATGTCTATGTTTGATTACGCCAACATTAAATTTACTCTTTTGTTAAAAAAATATAAAGAGTTATAAATCAATTAATAAAAAAATGAGTTTATCAAGGTTGTTAGCTAATAGGAAACATAAAAGTAAAATATGGAAATTTTTTTTTACAATGAAAAAACCAGCACATCTACATGCCTAGTTCTAGACAAGAATAATATGGGATGCTTTGGCACAACTCTTACCGCATGTGCCTTCTAATAATAATAATATAAATATAAAAAAAATCAAGTGTAATAATTGAGAAACTTATTTACAAGTGTGGGAAATCATTGATCACTGACCACAAGACGGAACAGTACATATCAAATGATCAACCAACTATTAAAGTCACCGATGAGTAAAGTTCTAACAGAAATAGGTATATATTATTATTATTAGATTTATATTATTATTTATATTATTAATGCATACCTATAGTTTTGGAAAAAAAAAATTTATAAAGTAGCAATTAAAGTAGCAATAAATTGAAAGAAGATCTTTAGTGATCATCATTAAGAAAGGATATATAGTAAAGTATCTTGTCTTTTGAATCATATCGCAAAAGCATGGGAAAAGGGACATGAGAAAAACAATGACAATTATCAGTTATTATAATTGTTATTAGTAAACTTTAATTTCAGATGGTTTAGTTAAATTTAGGAATTGTTACATTCAAAAGAAGTGAATGCGTTTGGCTTTAAAACATTTAATAATTTTTAGAACCCTTTGCAGTACAAATGGATATACTTCAAACCAATGCCCAATCTCTTTCACATGTTCTCTCATCTATACTCAACTTGGAACACCATCTTCAAAAACATCCTATGAACAAGACTTTGACAGCAAATCTTCTTGGAAATTTACATCAAAGGTTTAAATAAATTCTGGACTCAGATATACCAAGCTGGACTCGGATACATTTATTCCTCTTTCATCAACTGAATATTTGTTAGATTGCTGTCTTTATTCTAAAGCTAGAAATGGACATCTTGCTCTATGCAACAAAGATGATAATAACAAGTGTTCGTAAAGTTGAGCCAGAGTTAAAAACAACTATTGAGTTAAACAGATCTGAATGTGAATCTACCATGAAGCATTTTTAATTCTTTTCAAATAAAATACTTCCAATTAAAGGAATTGGTAATAACTAAGGCAATATCTCTGTTGCAGGTCAATTTTCAAGATATTTGGCAGATAAAATGTAATGACACCCTGCCAGGTAACAGCTTGCTCTTTCAGAAACTAAAAAGAAAGCAAGTATAATAAGATTGCTATGCTGGCTGTGGAATTGTTGTCCGCCCCAGCATCACAGGCATATGTAAATAGGATTTTTTTACTTTGTGGAATTTTAACAAAAAAATCATTAGCAATGATAGTTTTTATGAATTTAAACAAGTTATTTATACTGTTTTATATTATATTAGGAAATTATTTTAATATCTTGGAATTTTGACAATGATACTTATTAATAAGTTAATATCCTGTTAAATAACAGCTAAAAAACTTTATAGAAGTAAAATATTAACTGAGTTAGCAACTGAAAGTAAATTTGTTGAAATCATAAGAACTGAACTGAAAGTTATTTTAAGAGAACTGATTTAAAACTGAAATAAGAATTATTTATAAGTATAATTCACCGTAATTTTACTGTAAACTCATCGTAAGAATTATTTGTAAGTAATACTCGCAATAGATGGAGTTTATAAAAAGTAAAACTAAAAATACTAATACTATAAAAATAAATATAGAAATACTAATATTATAAAAATAAATATAGAAATACTAATACTATAAAAATAAATATAGAAATACTAATACTATAAAAATAAATACAGAAATACTAATACTATAAAAATAAATATAGAAATACTAATACTATAAAAATAAATATATAAATACTAATACTATAAAAATAAATATAGAAATACCAATACTATAAAAATAAATATAGAAATACTAACCCTATAAAAATAAATATAGAAATACTAATACTGTAAAAACAAATATAAAAATACTAATACTATAAAAATACATATAGAAATACTAATACTATAAAAATCAACACCACAACTAAATTAAAGCTGAAATTTTTTATTTTATTTGAAAGCATAAAAATGGTTAAAAAAGAATAATTAGTCTCAATGATAATACAATTCTGACAACACACAGACAGTTTTCACGTTAAAGACAAAATCACAAACAGAAATTAAAAAATGATTTTAAAAAGTCAACAGTCAATAATAAGAATAAAAAAATAAGATAACCAATGAAAAGTCAATTCAGATAAGCAATGAAAGCCATTAGAATATTACTATTTTCCTTTTTTAGAAAAGGTCATAATAAAAAAAAAGCTCAGTTACTTTACCAGCTGACAAAAGGTTTTACATTAGATGACTTTTACATTTAAATAACTTTTACAATAGATGACTGAATATAAAAATTAGATGAAAAAAACAACAAGATTGATTTGTTGAAAATGACATTATTTTTTTTTTTGTCAATTTAAAACAAAAAACAACTAATAAACAGCAAGTAACATGTGAAACCAACAACAATGACACCAGCAAATACACACAGTGACACCAACAAATACATACAGGAAAAAGACCAATACCTAGATGGTAAAAACAGTTCAACTTATACAGTTCAGCGCCACTTTTGAAGTGAAATAGTTCTAAATGTCACCACATTTAACAAGTGGTGTCAAACCCGGAATTTTTAAATTCTTATTTTGTTTTTTTGTTATCATCAATAAATTAAAAACTAATCTTATTATTATTATTATTATTATTATTATTATTATTATTATTATTATTATTATTATCAAAAATAAGATAATCAAAATTAATATTTAGCTGTGTCTTGTTTAAACTCTTCCTATTTTCCTGTATTAAACAATGATTCTCTAGTAAATTTAAATTTTTTTTTCACTGAAACCAAACAAAAGTTTGAGCTGAACTGATAAAAAACTAAAACTTTGGACCAGGTTTTAGAACTATATATATATATATATATATATATATATATATATATATATATATATATATATATATATATATATATATATATATATATATATATATATATATATATATATATATATATATATTAAGGCCTAATCTACATATAGAGCATATTATAACAAATATGTAACATTTAAAACTCAGTTAAAAATAACTACATTAAAATAAATATATATCACACTTTATTTAAACACTTTTTGCTTATTCAGTATTTCACTTATTTTTGAGGCAATCATAACTGAAAATGAAACAAAAAGCTTACCTCACAACGTTGTGCAATCTTAGTAGCGGATATATCAAGTTCTTGAAATTGATTTTTTACATTGCTCATTTCTTTTTGTAAGGCTTCATAATCAAGAGTAAGAAGCTCATAGCTGCTTTTCAATGATTCGTTTTCACTAAGATACAGGGCATTCTCCATTGAAATGGTAGACATCAATGCTGATATGTGAGATTTCTATTTTAAACATATTAAACTTAGATTAGATAAAACATTTTGAGAGTTTGATAAATACATAAAAAAGTCACTAGTCAGAGCCAGAGCCAAGAAGAAGGGAAAAAAAAACAGAAAAAAAAGCTCTTAATAAAACTCAGAGCAAATGGCTTTTTTTTGAAAAAATGAAAAAAAATATAAAAATACAATTAATTAAAAAAACAAAATGTCATTTCATTTCTTGTTTCAGAATAAAGGGTTAAGATAGGAAACAAGTCATATTACTACCATATATATACAATATAATATAAATATAATTATAAATATATCTGAGAAGAATCTGAGAAGATAGAAATTTAAAAGACTTAGAGAATTGCCATTTATTAATATAGGAATATCAACAATTATGTGATAATTGTTAGCAGAAAACAGTTAAGTTTTGTTTGCGTTAAAATCTACTACAAATTATAGAGAAGTTTAAGTGAGAAATAACTCTAGCAAACTTTATCATGCCTGCCTCCAGGAGATTATAAAGGAGACAAATTTTTTGTATAGAGATTAAAAACATCAGTCCAAGGACAACAACAAAGAAAATCACAAAAATAATTCCAGTCAGCTATAAGGTAGTAATAAGAATGATATAGACAACTAAATACAAAAGTATGAGTTAAAAGTTCAAGTGGTAGAATAATATGAACCATCTTAAGAGAACAATTAGAAACTGAGCACAAGTTTATGTCAGAAACACAAATCAATCAGTGAAGTTATGTAATTAGGGTTGTTTTGAAAACAAGTCACAAAATTTAACTACCTGAGTGAAAAATTGAGAAGTCATAACTTTGAGCTTTGAGAAACAACATCAAAAACAGTAAATTATAAAAAAAATAAAAAGTGATTGAGTGATGTGCTCTTTCAAAAGCTCTCTGAAGAGCGAAACCACATGTTTAGCCTAAGCATGTGACTATTGGAGTCTTTGAAAATCAAAGAATAATAGCTATCAACATTTAGATCTAAAAATAAAAGAGTTGAATTGTTTGCAGTTCATTCAAGCACCACTTTGCAATCTGAATAAAAAAATTAAAGCCACCAGATTTTTACAAATCTGGTGGGTTTAATTTTTTTTTTTTGTTTGTGACAAAAAAAAAAAAAAAAAAATCAACTTTTTTGATTTTTGTAAAAATCTTCTGAATAAAAAAAAATTTATATATAAAATTTAAAATTGCTCTGGAGGTAAAAAAAAAAAAAAGGTTTTCCCTGCTATTACTTATTCATTATGCAAAATCACTAACAAAATTCGAACAACTAAAGTCTTGAGGGGTGTTTTCTGTGGATATTTAAAAATTAAAAAATAGTAAAAATATTTTTACCTGTTTCTCCAAAATATCAATTTCATTTTGAAGTCTTTCAATAACTTCATTTTTTTCCTTAACAACATCTTCTGGTTTAACAGATAACCTAAATAAAAAAAAAATTAAAATTTTGAGAAAATTTTTTAAAAAAACTATTTAAAAATGTAAAAAATTTTTTTTTAAAAATTACATTTTTATTTCAATCATTTTAGAAGATGTAATTGGTCCTCTTTGAATGTGCAGTTCAGTTCTGAAAAATCAAGATTTCTTCTATTTAAAAACTTCTGCAGAACATTTAACATCTTTAACACAAAAACACTTAACAAATATTATTTAACATATACTTAATGAGGCAAAAACCTTGCTCGCTTTGTCAACTGAATTTTTTCAGTAATATTTGTTATGTTTTTAAGGCTACCAGTACTTTTTAAATCATGAAGGTCTTTTTCTAAAGAATTTATATCCTAAAAAACAAAAAAAAAATTGTTTTCAAAATCATGTGATATAAAATTTAAATAACAATTATTGTAAAATAGAATAGAAAAAAAAAAAAAAAAAAGAAAATAAAAAGAAAAGAAAAAAACCTCCTCTAAGTCTTTATTTCTTCGTTTCATCTCATCAAGACTGAAATAAAATTAAAAAAATAATAATAAAAAAAGATAAAAACCTTAATTTTTACAAATCTGGTTGCTTTGATTTTTTTTTTTTTTTGATTGTGATGCAATAACAAAACACCTGTTTGTAACAAAAACAATAAAACACCTTTGTGTAACAAATAAAAAAACACTTGTTTGTAACAGAAATAACAAAACACTTGTTTGTAACAGAAATAACAAAACACCTGTTTGTAACAGAAATAACAAAATACCTGTTTGTAACAGAAATAAGAGTTTCTTCTTTAAGTTGAAGATCGTTGCTTGTCTTATGATTAAGTTTGACATATTCTTCTAACTGATTTTTTAATGTTTTTAAACGTTCTTCTTGTAGCTTCATAGCTGTCATAAAGCGGTTGCGTTCTGAAGTTACTTCTTCTAATCTGTAAAAAATGAAAAGCAAAATTAAAAAAAAAAAGTAATACAAAATTAATCAATAATGAAGTTGCTGGAAATTAGATTTAATCAAAGTTCAATTTCCTGAAAATTAGTTTAAATATTTTATAATAAAAGTGTTGTTTATATTTTCAGAGAGATTAATTTAAATTCACTGATGTTTTTATGGTCTTGGTAAAAATTGGATGACATCTATTATTATAGAAAATTTAGATTTTTAATTCTATATATTTAGCTATTTAAAGAGAATATTTTTAATTGGCTAAATAACTAATAATTTTACCAACTAAATTATATAATTGTTGGAACATATTAAAGCTTTAAACATAAAAATTTTAAAACTTTAAGTTTATTTTCTAGATTTTCTTTTTAAAAAAAGATAAGCATCTTTAATTTTATCCTTTTGTATCTTTTTATAGTATCCCATTAAGTGTTTAGGTGTTTTGTTTTTCCTAGATTTAGAAAAAGACCTAAATTTTTTCTGGGTAAAAATATAATTTAATAATTGATATTGATAAATCACAAACCAAATAACTGATACCAGAATCAAATTCACAAATTACAATGTTTTTGTATAACAACATAATTAGTAATAAAAATCAATTGTTCACATTTTTAAATTAAGCACATTTTTACTATTTGAATAAAACATTTTTAAAACCTAATTGAATTTCTTTTTAATAAAGTAAGAAAATAATGACAAAATCTTTTTTTTATTGTGTAAAATGTTCATTATCGTTGTTAGTATTTTATTGTAGTTGGGGTTTGCAGTAACCATGTTTTAAACTAATTTTATATTTCACAATTTTATTTATTTAATTAGTCATAATTTGTTTTAGATTTCTATCAATACTTTTCTTTTCTTTAAATTCATTTTTTTTCCTTCTTTTGTTTAAACTTCAAATACATTTTTTTAAAACCTGTTTAAAAAAACCTTTGAATATAAGTACTTTTAAAATGTTAACCTTTCCTATGATTTCATCTATTTTAAATGATTTTCAGTTATATCTGAATCTAAACATATTTAATGTAAATAACTAAATACATTTAATTCAAAAACAATTAAATAATGAAATAAAGATCAGTTGAACTTGTTAAATCTAAAATCATGTTAATTTATGTCTATTTAACCCCAGAATTTTGAAAAAAGTTAAAACCTTTTAGCAAAACATTTGTTGAAGCAGAAAGTATGTATAAAATCTGTGTAGCAAAATGTAGCACAATAATTTTATCAGAAAATGTTTTATTACTACATTATAATATTTTCAGATTTTTTTTTTTTACTTCCTTTTCTACATTCAAAACCTTTTTAATTATTCAAGAAAAATTTCATTAATAAAGTCTCTTTTTCATTCAAATTCTATTTTTAAACCAGTCTTCATTTGAGTTCTTTTTTTCAATTCAAGCTCTATTTTATTATTTAAGAACAGCTTTACTATTCATACTCTTATCATGCTTATTTTCTTAATTCAAAATTTTTTATTATTTATTTATGTTTCTTTTTTCAAGCTACAAAGTTTTTTTTTTTTTTTTTTTCATGACCTGCTATATTTAAACACCCTCATCTGTCGCATATATTTAAACACCCTCATCTACTACATATATTTAAATACCCTCATCTGTTGCATATATTTAAACACCTTTATCTGTTGCATATATTTAAACACCCTCATCTGTTGCATATATTTAAATACCCTCATCTGTTGCATATATTTAAACACCCTCATCTGTTGCATATATTTAAACACCCTCATCTGTTACATATATTTAAACACCTTCACCTGTTGCATATATTCAAACACTCTCATCTGTTGCATACATTTAAACATCCTCGTCTGTTGCATATGCAAACCAAATGAATTTTTGAAATAAAAATGACAATCATCGATTTTTTACAGAAATTACTTTACGTATATATATATATATATATATATATATATATATATATATATATATATATATATATATATATATATATATATATATATATACTATTTTATTTTATTATTAAATAACATACTTATATGCTTTCGATATTTTTAAGCATTTTAATTTTATATATAACGGTTTGGTATCAAAACCCACCTTCCAATATGTCTATTGGATTGTCTAATATTGATGACATGTTGATAACATTTCAGTGTTATTTTCATACACAATCCAAATTCATCCATATTGTTCCATATTCCATCCATATGTTATATAGTTATATAGTTATAATATGGATTGAATATGGATGTTCCATCCATATTCAATCCATATTGTTCATTTTCCTAAATTCCACAATTATTTATAGTTATGTTTATGAACATAACCTGATACATAAAATCATAAAAGTATATGACTTTCAACCTGTCAACGTAAAGCATGACTAAGAAAGTGTGGTTTGCTCTACTGTAATTTTTTTTAAACTTTTTTGTTTTGTTGTGATTTTGAAAGTATTTAGCATTTAAACCCCAATTCTAAAAAATATCATCTGAAAAAAAATGTTTATTTCAGGGGATACTTTTTTAGACAAATATATATATATATATATATATATATATATATATATATATATATATATATATATATATATATATATATATATATATATACACATAAACATATATATATATATATATATATATATATATATATATATATATATATATATATATATATACACATAAACATATATATATATATATATATATATATATATACACATAAACATATATATATATATATATATATATATATATATATATATATATATATATATATATATATATATATATATATATATATATATATATATATATATATATATTTAAACTTATTCTTTAAAAAAAAAACTAAAAAACATTTTCATGCATTTTTAATTATTTTTGATCAAGCAGAATGTTCTACAAACAAACTGACAGATTTTATTAAATGTATTTAAATTAATAAACTACAAAAAATAACATCAAATATTCCAAATATCCCTAACCTCTACTGTTACTGACATGAATTCTGCCATAAAAAAAACAATCCTAATTTTATTTCTTAATTTCAAAATTTTAACTGCAACATTTCAAAATATGTACAAATCAAAAATATGTACTAATTAATCTATAGTGTATATATCTATGTAAAAAAAACAACAACTGATTTATCTCTTGCCTTTTTTGTGAAGTTCTTATAACTTAAAATAGTAACAATATTATGGAAATTTATAATGGTTTTTTGAAATGTCATAAAAAATAAACTTCTTTACTTAAGTTAATAGAGGTGACAAGTTTTTTTTTTTTGCAAAATAGATAGTTTATAATTAAATGATATATTTATATGTAAAGGATTGATATCCTTTCTTATTGGTTTCTCTCTGTTGTTGTTATTGTTGTTTCTCTCTGATTTACATATTATATCACTTATATTTATATATATTATATTACTTTATAAAAATATTGTTTTTTTTACAATTTACAATGATATAAAACTTTTTAATGGATATACCTTGTTTCAAGTTGGGCATTAAGTCTTTGGAACTCATCCAAACTCTGACGCAGTATTGTGATTTGATTATTTTTTTCATTTAAAATGAAATTCAATTTATCACTTCCAGAAATTGTAAACTGAAGCTCCTCAATTCTAATAAACAATTTAAAAAATTCTAATAAATTTAAAATTATACAAAAATGTCTTAAAAGTAAAAGAAGTAAAGAAAACCGAGATTATCTTTTAAACAAAAACAATGATATAATGAAATGTATAAAAAATCAATATATATATATATATATATATATATATATATATATATATATATATATATATATATATATATATATATATATATATATATATATATCAACCCTCGGAATTAGAAAAAATGAGATTGGCAATAATTTGCTGATCTCAATCTTTTTGAGGTCGGCATCAAATCGGGAAAAAATATTTGATACAAAAGTCTGACCATAAAACATAGAAACATATCAGCAATTTTTTGCCGACCTCAAACACTTTCAGGTGACTCCGAGGTCAGGTTCAGGTAACTCCGAGGGTTGATATATATATTTATCTATATATGTATAATATATATATATATATATATATATATATATATATATATATATATATATATATAATATATGTTCACCAGCCCATGGCTCTAGAAGAAGTAAACATTTGTAAAACAGGTGGATAAAGAAACAATTTATTGTGATTGTGGTAATACCAGGAATATAGAACTCTGAACCTTTTGATTACAAAGCAAGCACACTACCACTGTATTACTACCACAATAGGAAAGATACAGCAAAATAAAGAGCTATTATATATATATATATATATATATATATATATATATATATATATATATATATATATATATATATATATATATATGATATATATAAAATGTAACATGGTATATAAAAAGTATAGTGAAAATTTTAATAAAAAAACAAATGAAACCTTCTTCCTAAATCAGCAATAACTCCATCTTTTTCTTGTAAAATCAATTTTGATTTATGCTTTTCGTTTTCAAATTCATTAATTCTGTTAAATAAAAACTTTTCTTACTATATATTACAACTTTTTTTTTTAGTATAAAGTAACCTTTACTTTATAGTATAAAAATTTCAACAATTTAAGCTGTAAAACTTATAATTTATATAAATAAGATTATACATAAAAAACAAGCAAACAAATTACATTTTTTTGAGTTCTGCTTCCCTTAAATCTGCTTCTTTTTTAAGTGTAACTTGGTCTTCCAACATTTTTGACAGATCAGCACTTAAATTTCAAACAAATGTATATTGAAATTTAAATAAAAAAGTGGTAACATAAATGCAATCAAAAGGATATATTTCACTGTTTCTAAAAGTTTTTTTGAAAAGTATAACTTACATTTGTTTTGCTGTAGAAATTTCCTTTTCATTTGGTGCCCGTAACTCGTCTGCCAATTTTTTGGTGTTGTCTAACCTAATATGCAAAATGTTAAACTAATTAACAGAGAAAACAAAAAAATGTCTACTGAAGCTTGGTCTAAAGGTCTATTAGTATGAAGATATTTTAAACCCAAAAATGGCCGATAGCAACAGTTTTTGTTTTTGTTCATTTAACCATCCTTCTTTTAAAAACAGTGTTTTTGCAATTAAAGATTTGTGTCATATGTACGATTTTGTTTTATTACAAGAGCATTGGTTATTATCCCAATAAGCTTGAATTATTAAACAATGTACATCCAGAATTTTATGGTATATTAGCAGTAAACATATCATCTGATATATTAATTAGTAGACCTTTTGGAGGGACTGCTATTCTTTATTAAAAAAATCAAATATTGTTACAAGTGATTCTAGGTTCAAAAGATTTAATTATCATTAAATCTTTAGAACCCAGAATCACTTGTTTAAAAGTATCTGCCAATATTTGGCCAATTTCGCTTATAAATGTGTGCATATCAACAAATTATAATGAAGAACATTGCCTTCATAATTATAATGATATAAGTTCAAAAATAAAATCACTTATAGTAGAAACTGATGCTATGAACAGTTACTGCTTGCGATTTTAACTGTTATAATCAATATAGGTCAAGATTCTATGAAAAAATTTTTAATCTTGCTTTAGAAAATAAACTGATTAAATCTGATATCAATAACTTTAATAATGTCTGTACATATGTGAGCGCTGATGGATCTATTTCTTCCTGGTTGGATCACATTCTATGCAGTTGATAATCTCATTATATCTATATCAGTTTAAATATAGTAATTGCCTTAGACCATAAACCATTAGCATTTCTGATTACTTGCTAATTAACAAACTTATCTGAAATAAATAACAGCAAACCTTATTTTATTATGTCAATGTTATGAAAAAAAAATAGATTTTTTTTATCAAAATCTGTATATGTACTACTCTATCTACTTAAAATACACCAAATGGCTACAATACAACATAAATATTGACTTACTTTATAACAACATCATAAATACAATCTGCTGTATCTGATACCATACGTCATAGTATTTTTAAACACAATAATCATGAATATATTACTCCAGGTTGAAACAACTATGTTAAAGAAAAACATGTCACTGCAAGGGATGCACTTAAGAAGTGGATTTTTCAAGGAAAAAAACAGGGTGATATTTTTAAAAACATGAAGTGGCCTCGTGCTACTTTTAAATTAGCTTTTAGATATAGTAAACATCATAATGAACAAATTCAAACTGATTTATGTGTAAAAATTTGAACAGTGCAAATTCAAGAATGTTCTGGAACAATGTGTGTAAAATCAGTAAACTTTGTTGCTAGTGTTGAAGTGATAGGAATATTGCTAATACGTTGAAGGAGCACTTTCAAAAATTGTAAAACTCAACTGAAAATAAAAAATTTTACCTCAACTTCATAAAAGAATTGGAACTTTCAACAGAAAACTCTGAAATTGTTGTGAGCTGCATTGACCTATCTACTATAATAAAAACTCAAAAACTAGGAAAAGCAGCTAGACCTGATAACCTTTGTATGGAATCTTTTATGTACAGTGGGACTAGACTGACATTTATCTAGTATTTGCTACAACAAATGTGCTAAAATGTTTTTTCGTTATGACAAGCACAATAGTATATCTTTCTTGCTTTTAGAGCACAGATTACCATCTTTTAATACAATTATTTTAAACTGCAGACATGCTTGTTGCAATCAGTTGATGGGTTGTACCTTAGTGAATAACTCCATGCTTAATAAAATTTTATTTTTGTTAATTATAACTGTGTATATAAGTGAGTATTAGTATTTAACTGAATATATCTGTGTAACCTACATCACAAAATATAAACATAAATGATGATAGTTAAACCTTATGAAAAAATGAAAAGTTTAAACAAATAAAACTTTACTCATTTTGTAGCTCTGCTATCTGTTTATTAAACTCTTCTTCAAGTTCCTTAAATCTAATATATATAAAGAAATTTATTATTTATAATACATTTTTATATATAATATATATAAAAATGTATTATTTAATATATATAAAAAAATATAATTACAAATATTATCATAAAACTTAATTTCATTTATCAAAAACTTAATTAAAGGTGATATTTTATATTGACTTGAAATAATTTAAAATGTTACAATTACAAAATTAAAACTATAAAAAAAAATTAATGAAAAATAAATTTTACTTTATGCTGTTTCTCTCAATTGTTCTGTCTTTAATTTTTATTGAAGATGACAGTTTTTCTACGAGCTCTTCTTGATCAAGTACTTGTTTTTCTAGTGTGTTTATTTTTACTTCGCTGACTTTTACACTACAATTTAAACGATTATTAATCATGAGAGTTTCTTGCAATCTTTCTTGCAACTCTACTATAGTTTTTTCTTTATTTTCAAGTTGTTGCAGGCTTCGCTTTCCACTTTCTTCAAAATCTTCATTTTTTTTTTTAAGCTCATGAAATTCTTCTTCTTTTATCTGAAGAGCTTTTGAAAGTTTTTGATTTTCTTTGTATGTGTGCATTAGCTCTTTGACTCTAATAAAGAATCAGAAAAAAAAAATTAAACATCTGAAGATTTAAATTTATTTTTACTATATTTTGTTTTATAATGTAATAATATCATTATGATGGAAAGATTGGGAAACAAAGTTGACTAACTAAAAAAAACTAAAAAAAAAACAACCTCATGTCAAGATCTACTAGTTTTTGGTCTTTCTCTTCATTGCTGAGGTCAAGTTTTCGATATTGGAGCATTGTACCTTCTAGTTTTGATTGTAAATCTTGAATGAATGAATCCTTTTGTTGTTGTTCTTCTGCAAAACTGTTTAATCTAGAAAAAAAATTTAGAATTATCAAGTTGCTTATTGTAAACCTTTTATGTTAAGAAAAAATAAAAATAAAATATAACCTATATTCTAAGTTAGTAATTTTCTGATCTCTTCGTAATAAACTCATTTGTCTCTTGACTTTAAAATCACTAAATTCTGTCACCCTAAAATAGTTTATATGAATATGCTACTTTAAGTAAATAGTTTAAGTAAAAAAAAAAAGTAAATAAAAAATAAAATTTAAATAATAATTTTAAACATTTCATATATTCATATAAAGTCTCTGGTCTAACTTTTCAAATGAATCAGAATCAAAAAAAGCTTGGATTAACACATCAAAATACATTTTTTAACAACAAACTTAAACTTTAAAAATATGATTTAATATTATACAATTATAATACAATATTATTTTTATAAAATATAATATTTATGCAATATATAAATTGTTTAATTAACAAATTCAATATATAGCAACTAAACCACATTTTTTATTTTCTAAAGCATAAATTGAAAATTTTTTAAACATAATTCAAATGTTTGAATTTTGGATTTAAATAAATATTGTAATTTGTAACACTAATATCAACAATATTATTGCATTGTAACATCTACTGACACTTTCTACACATGCACCGAATGGTATATGTTACAATTTGTCAGATTAATCAACACTATATTTTTATACCTATATATTATTTTTAACAATCAGTCAGTATATTTAACAACTACATTTTCTATGTTGGCACAAATTAATGAGTTGTGTATTAATCACTTGCACCAAATAGAGGGTTTTGTTTGAAAGTTTTTAAATTATGAAGTTTTTTAAAAGTTTTAAAAATAAAGGAGTTCAAGTTTTATTTAAAAATAATTAATTTTTACTCTTGGTTAAGCTTTAGGATTTCTGATTCAGCATTCTTTTTAATAATTTCTCGAATTTGTTCAGATTTCTGTAGTTGAAGCTCCAATTCATATATTCTAAAAAAAAGACATAAATATGTAGGTATGTATGCATATGCATATGTATGTATGTATGTATGTATGCATGTATGTATGTATGTATATAGGTGAATATGGTGGCTGAGGCATGATTGTGGTGTTGTTTTTGGCCAAAAAATCTCTCACAAGCAAAGATGAGTGAGCAGGGCCATTATCGTGTTGCAAAAGCCATGAATTGTTTTTCCACAATTCTGGACATTTTCTTTGTATTACTTTTCGCAAACGGCGCATAACTTCAAGATAATACTGTTTATTGACCATACAACCATATTGTAAGAACTCCTGATGCACCACGCCATGGTAATCGAAAAAAACAGTGAGCAAAACTTTGACATTTGATTGAACTTGGCGTGCTTTTTTTGGTCTTGGCTCACCTGGGCTCTTCCATTGGGACGATTGGGCTTTGGTTTCAATATCATAACCATATATCCATGATTCGTCACCAGTTATGACCCTTTTGAGTAAATTTGGGTCGTTGTTGATGTCATTCAACAGTTCTTGAGCGATGCTCATGCGACGGTTCTTTTGGTCAAAATTGAGCAATTTCGGAACAAACTTCGCTGACACACGTCTCATTTCAAGTGTTTTGGAGCACTTTATTTTATTTTTTACACAAAACTTGATGCAAATCCTTCGATCCAGATTTTTTAACAGCAAAAAATTTGCAAAACACTTATAACCTTTATGCCTCTCACAACCAAACAAAAAATACGATGCCCGCGAAATTTGAAAATTCACCTTAATTTTTGAACACACCTCATATATGCATATGTATGTATGTGTGTATATATATATATATATATATATATATATATATATATATATATATATATATATATATATATATATATATATATATCATAAGCAATGAAATAAAAAAATTATATTTTTCCGAATTCAATTACTGAATGCAGCATTTTTTTCTAAAAAAAAGAATTTTCAAACAAAATGATATTGTTAACAGAATTAAAGTTAGTAATAAGTTGTTATATATGAGGAAAAGATTTGTACATAATATGACTACTTGAAAATAAAGGTGTTGGTTTGCATGGACTGGTACTTTAATGCAAAAAAACTATCATTTATTTTATATGCTCTTATTTTATTTATTATATGATATTATTAAAATAAAAAAAATTAAAACAAGGTGTGTTGGAACACTTATTGGCTACAGATTGGATTGCATTGTTAAATTTTAGTTGTTTAGAATTCGGTAATATTGAACAAAATCACTTGGATTTAGCGCTGACAAAATTAATGATTTGTAGGATTCTCACTCCATAGCAACTAGTTTTTTGGTTTTATCTGATGGCATTATTACTGAGGCTGTCGAGGGGTATGCAGGAAACCAAATACCTGCTTATTGGTTACCCACTTATTAGTTCCTGAGTAGCAATATCAAATGACAGGTAACCGCCATTTGATATGTTTTAAAATTCATTTCATTCTTTTTTATACTTTAAAATCGTAGAATTACAGTTTGACAAAAATATTTAATTAAATATTTATTAAAGAAGATCTTAAGAAGAAGAAGATCTTGCGTTAAAAATTTTAACAGTTACAAATTAGTTAAAAATTAGTTAGTTAAAAATTTTAACAGTTACTATTTCTTTATCACCATCAGAATTTATGAGACCAATCAATAGAATGTTTGGAAAAATTTCTGAGTTTCTCTTTTAAATACCTACTTATTATTCAACGATTATTACTACTCCTGTGCACAATGTTTTCCTAGATTTCACAAACTTTAATTATTTTGTAAATTAGTAACACAAATTTTGAATACCTGATATAATATTTATATAATAGAATTGAATAAAATATTTTTTCACAATATTGACTTTTTTTTAGTATTTAAAAAAAAAAAAATTAAGTGTTTGTTTTTGCTGTCGGCAAGGTATTATAAGTAATTAAATTAATGGATTACAGTTTTGCGCTATTTTGGTAAAAGAACTTTGTATTAATAAGAATTTCTATCTGACAATCAATTTTTTAGTTATTGGTCTTTTAATAGAGCAGAAAACAAATACAATTTAAGGCTGTTTTCCACAAGACTAAATATTCGCGCAAAGTGAATTTTTTCGCTATGACGAAACGCTGTTTTGATTTCCACTTACTTTCTTTCGTGCTACTTTTTTTTCATTGTCAAAAATAAAAATGGCAGCAATAAGTTTACGCTGTATGTTTAACTAAAAGCAGTTATTACTTTTTTAGCATACTTTCTACTTTGAAGCATGTAAAAATTTCTTTCCATACATTAATATTAACATTTCTGCCTTTATATGTAAGATGTGATATTATTTTGTAATATAATCATTTAATATAAGGTTTTTTTTTTACAAGAAAATATAAGAAAATAAATGCTAAACTCTGATGTGAACATTTCTATTAAAAACTGTTACTGCAAGAACAAACAGCAGGTTTAATTCTATGTAGAATTTTTCACAAAAAGGTTTATCTTTGTGTGGCCACTTGAAGATAAACATTCTTATGAAGTGTAACTTTCGTAATTGATAGTGTGAAAATTTATATTTGTAAATTCTCAATTTAGTTTTATATATAAGTCTGGTCATTTTTTATGTAAGTCTTGCCCCTTGTTTGATGAATTTACTCATGTTTGCCAATTTTCAGAGTAAGTTCATATAAAATTAATAAGAACGCCAAGTTAAGAATTTTGTTTTTTGTTACTTTAAAAACAACATGTTTTTGCTTCGCAAAAAGTCGAAATGAATCCAACTTTTTTCCAAATTTTTTGCTGCAGCGAAACGCTGTAACAAATAATAAATACTTAACGACAAAAAAATTTGCTTCGCGCAAATTTTTCATCTTGTGGAAAACAGCCTTTAGCTTTCAAATACATATTATTAAAGATATTATGTTCTTAAAAGAAAATAAGAAATTTGTTATCAAGTACTCCATTAACAGTCAATTTTATGTCGAAATAACCAAAGAATTTTATTGAGCAGTCTTCTAGAAACAGAGCAAAAGGAGGAAGACCACACAAAACATGTCATTACACTGACAGAAAAATTATTTGCTATTTTTAAAAGAATCCTTATGACAATGGCAATGATACCATTCAAAAACTTTTCATAGTACAATTTAAAAGGTTCTGATGACAATTTGTATGTAAACCTTTGGATGTTAAATACACAAGTGGTCAAGCATGATGTCAAAAATTAGGAAAATGGTTTGGAGTTGTTTTTCTTGTTTTAGCTGAGTGGACATAAAAAGCTATTAGAAAAGTGTAAATAGTAAAACTTTTTTTTTACTTACTTTTCCTGCAGCGAAAGAATATTTTCCTCTTTAGTCTTGACTTGATGATTCAATATTTCATTCATTTTTACAGCTTCTTCTAAAGTATGAACCCTAAAGTAAAATTTTTAAACTTAATTAATTTCATTGTTATGTATAAAAAAAAAAGAATTTTAAATTTAATATAAAAGTATTTAAAATTAAGTAGGATACCTCTCTTCAAGATTTTCAATTTTTTTGTCTTTAAGCAAAGAATGTTCTTTCAACCGATTATTTGATCTTGCTAACTCTCCAAGCTGATCCATACTAAGATAAAGGTAAATATTTTAAAAATTTATAAATGAATAAAAAAATACTATAAACAAATATATAAATACAACAAGTATTTATATATTTATACTACTTATTTCATTGATCAAAAAAAAAAAAAACTAAACAATACAATTAAAATGCACAACATTATTGTATGATATTTTTCATAGAACTCTATAATTACAGGTCTTGACATGGTGCAATAAAATTGCTTGACTGATTTATAATATGTTTACATTTTCATCTTTTAACTTTAGAAAAAAGTTTGTATTTGCACTTTTTTAGCAAATTTTTCACATTTGATTGGTTTATAAATTAGATAGCACATAAAATTTAATTGCCTAAATATTGTCAAACTGAAAAAAAACACATTTAGATGAAGATGTCTTTAAAATGTTGTATACCACTTTAAAATACTGTTTACCACTTTGCCAGTAGAACTCTCACTTGACTGCAAAAAAAAAATATCAGGTTGTAAATTCCCAAAGAATTCAGACTATTTCATACTATACAGAAAAATCCTGATTGGATTTTTATTTTCATTATTTCTTTTAAAAATTTTTAATGATTTTTAATTTGTAGCTTACCATAATAGCTTAACTTGTAATATTTTAAATCTAACTGCAGACTAATTTAAATTGAAAAAAACAAAATCAGCTTATAAAAACAAAATCAGCTTATAAAAACAAAATCAGCTTATAAAAACAAAATCAGCTTATAAAAACGAAATCAGCTTATAAAAATGAAATCAGCTTATAAAAACGAAATCAGCTTATAAAAACAAAATCAGCTTATAAAACAAAATCATTTTATAAAAAAAAATCATTTTATAAAAAAAAATCAGCTTATAAAAACAAAATCAGCTTATAAAAACGAAATCAGCTTATAAAAACAAAATCAGCTTATAAAAACGAAATCAGCTTATAAAAACAAAATCAGCTTATAAAACGAAATCAGCTTATAAAAACAAAATCAGCTTATAACAACAAAATCAGCTTTATTCAAAGCAGTTAGATTTTTTAAGAATAAAGAAAGTTTGCATCAGCCAAATATACTAGATAAGCACCTTAATGCATTAAGAAAAGTTAATGTTGGTGAAGTTTTAAATTCTTCAGATATTATATGTTTTTAATTTCGATTATAGCCTTCATGTTTCTCAATGTATTTGGGTTTGTAAATAATTACCCTATTGAACTATATAAAACTTTTTTTTGTATGAGGAATCAATGTAGCTTTTTGCTGGCGATTTTCATTGTTACCTTTTTTTAGTTATGCTCTGTGAGCAAAAAACAAAAGATATATCTCTAAAAAATATATTTCTAATGTATATACATTTATTAGTTATCTGTGTAAGATATTATTATTATTTATTATTACAGTGATATTCTTGATAAAATTTAAAGTATAATAATTTTTTAACAATTTTTGTTTTTTGTTTTATAATTTTGTCTTTATTAGATATTTGCATTAGAAAACATAGACAACCATTATTACTTTACCTTATATAAAAATATATCAATATAAGTATTAAAATTTAATAAGCCATCAGCTTTTACAGCAGTTTGTGCAATGTCAAGGCCTGCTATTATAGAAGGCTGTGATATTTTTCATATCACATTTAAATGATTAAATATTGACTGAATGAGCTATTTAAATAAAATAAAAAACTAATTCCAAAATAAAATTCATAGTAATATATGAAACAAAATACTTGTCTTCTAGTAGTTGGATCTTTTGCTCTTTTTGTTGCAATAGAGCATTCAATTTGACATTTTTTGCCTCAATATCATCAAACTTCTCCATGCTAGAAAAAAAGTTATAGAAAAATTATATATATACACAATACAAATTTATTGTAAACAGAATTATATATACACAATACAAATTTATTGTAAACAGATATTTTGTAATACTTATTTTCAGCTTGCTGAAGCTTTTCGTCCTTTAATTTAATAAGTTGTTCAATTCTTTTTATCTTTCCAACACTATCCAATAACCTTGAGAGAAATAAATACAAATATTTATATACTTTTATTTTATCTTTCTAACAATGTCAAATAACCTTGAGAGAAACCAATACAAATTTGTTTTATTTTAATAAAAGATACAGTAGTAATAGTGATTTAACTTGAATTCAGCCAAGAGTGACATCACACATTTTACTGGTTAGTTACTTAAAAAAAACATTAAAACAGTTATTTTGTTGGAGGTTAACAATGAAATGGTTAGTGATAGATTAAAATTTGGTTGCAATTTCAGCCGCAATTTTAAATTGAACTAATACCAAATTTTTGGTTTTAACACTTTTTATAAATTTGATAAGGAACAAAACTTCGCTTGAAAAACATACCAAAAAATTGTAAAAATGCTTTTTTAGTTAACATTTTCTAATGAAATTAGTTTTGTTTAGCCAAAATTTTGGTATTAGCTTCAGTAAAATGTTTGTCAATATGTTGGTATCAGTATTGAACTTGTATACCAGAAATTTCGGTTTATTTTGGTTTTGGCATATTTCCTGTTTCGGTCGATCACTAGTAATGGTGCAGATGATGAAAATATTTTGGTGCAGAAAGTGAACAAATTGGTGCAGATAGGTGAACAAATTGGTGCAGAAAGTGAACAAATTGGTGCAGATAGGGACAAAAATTTATGCATATGGTGCAAAATAATAATGCAGATGGTGGATATTTGGTAAGTCTAACATATAATAACCAAATATTTGTAAACTCTATCTGATTCAATAACAAACTAGATTTTGCAAATACAAAGGTTGAAAGTTAGTTTGAAAATTTATTAAAATAAATTCCTAAGATACAAGCAAATATTTTTAACACAAATTGAATGTAGGTTCAAAATGAAATAATAAAAACAACAACATTAGGAATAGTGAATTTAAAATGAAAAAAAAAATGATAAGTTAAAATCTTACTGAGCTTCAAGCTTCACAATGCAGTCATCTTTTTCATCTATTGCATTCTGCATGCTTTCTAACTTACTCTCTTTCAGCTTTATCAGTTTACTAAGGCTGCTCTGATCAACAATTGATGCTTCAAGAGTACACAAGCTACAAAAATTTATTATTTTCTTTAAATATACCTTTCATGGCAACACATATATATACAGCCACTTTTGAAAGATGATTTGAGTATATATTATATATATAGTTTGATAATATATAGTTGAGCATATATAGAAAAGTAATATTCTTATAGGTAACAAAACAAAAATATAGTCAATATAGCAACGAAATATAAACAAGATTCTTATGAAATATATGTAAATACCTTTGAGCAGCCAATTTGTATTGTTCATCACTTTGTTTGAGCATTCTTTCAAGTTTTTTTTTTTCATTGTTTAAACTGTCAACTCTATTAGTAGAAAAAAAAAAAAAAAGGTTCAATAAAAAGTAAATTCTTGTTTTTAAGTTTAATTTAAAGATCTTTTTTGTGTTAATGATAAATTTCTCATATATATATATATATATATATATATATATATATATATATATATATATATATATATATATATATATATATATATATATATATATATATATATATATATATATATGGGTGTGTCATACTATTTTTTTCTTACAGATTAAAAACCCTGTATTCTGAAAAAACTTGTATTTTAGTATTTTTATATAAAATTACTATAAAAAGCTTAGATTAAAAAATCCGAAATGATTAAGCTAACAGGAATCATGATTTAGGATTCATTTAAATTCTCAAAAAAATTCTTACAAGAATAGCAAATTTTTGCTAGTGGTTGTATATTTCTGACAGCTTAATCTTTTTTTCAACAAGTAAAAATAGGCTCATAGAAGATTAGCTGTATAAGTGTTGTTGCATCAGAAGATTAGCTGTATAAGTGTTGTTGCATCAGGTTTTTCCGAGTTATTCTAGCTCTCACATTTTTATCACCGCTTTAAGGTTTTTTTGTCACATGAGGCCTCTAATTTTCACAATTAACTCAATAATGTTCTTTCTTTCCTCTACATTCTCTAAGCAGAGCATGATCTGTATGACTAACTCAGAGAAAGTATAAACATCAAATCAAGAAAGGAGAAAGCATAAACATCACGCTGAACATCGAACTGTTGGCATAAAATAGCAACTACTTCACTTGATTTATGTTTCAGAAGGTTAAGCTGGTAAAGAATGTGTCTTGGTGTTTCAGTAAACCTGTGTTTGACTAATTTTAAACCACATGGGCATGTAAACTCTCATAACAAACTCTATTATTAATTTAGGATTTTTTAAACTCTTGCCGTCCAACTCTGCAAAGTTTGTTGGTAGTTATCAACCATCTTGAACAGGCCTAGTTTCAAGTAAAACTAAAGAACAGGCTAAGTCTGCAGGTATATTTCAACTTCTAATGGCAGAAACTATTTTATAACCATTAAACTGATCGGATAATAAATTTTTGATTACTTTATGCTCTGGAGTAATAAGAGGATTCCTGACACCAATTTTTTCAAAGGATGGATTAACTTCCAGAGTAGTTATGTCACTTGATAATTTTCCAATACTGCCTCTCCATTTGTTGCTACACAGAGTCTCTCCATCACAAGTTGTCATCAGATGACGCAGAGAAAGTTCATTTGTATGGAGTGCGAAAACCAGACAGTTTAGCTTTCTTTCTCATTTCACTCCCAGTCAATGTATTACTCCGCCTGACTACCCTGCGTTAACACTAGTAGAACCACCACCTATTGCCTTTAAGCTTTTATCGGTATCATTATATTTAAAAGATTCATATACTTTGAGCAATTACTTTGGCATGTTTCATATCAACTTTTGAAGGCGTAAAAGATACCACCGGGCTCTTGACATACTGTAAAATATTCCTATTTGACTGTAACAGGATAATATTTAGTTGAAACTTTAACTATTAACTGAACTTTTGTACTTTCAACCCTGCCATAAAAAAAAAACACAATTAATAATGATAGTCCTGCATTGAGTATCAAACTCTATAGAAAGAGACTGCATAATTTTTTCTTGAGCTTGCTTAACTTTGTTGTGATCAATAACTAACTTGGTATTGTCTTCTTTAACTATTCCTGCATCCATCCAAGCTTCTGTCGCAAATGCTGCTGTTTCTCGTAAGCCTGTACCATATCATATGCTTGCTTAAGCTATGTTGTTCCAGGAAACACTGTTTTCGCATTTTCATAAACGATTCAAATATTGAGATATTTAGAATATTGTGATTTTATCTCTTTACTAACCACAGGAATTTCCTCTTTATCATATATTGTTGGTATACGAAATTCGTACTTATCTTCATCTATTCCTTGAACCAATAGAAAGTTCAAGAAAACCTAAATAAGCCATAGCATAATCTACAAAATTTGTATTCATATGAAATATATAAAAATCAAACAAAGTATATAAAAACGTTATCTGTCTTTATCGATATTACAAATAAATATACCAACACAAACAATGACCACGTAACAGTTACCATTTTAGTAGAACTTTCCTTCTAAAAAGAAAGTTCTACTAATAAATAATTTTGCGTCTTTTAAAGCACAAAAATTTGATAAAAAATTACTTTAGGGAGTATTATAAATATATATATAAAGATATTTGTAACATAACTAAAATTAATTTTACATAGGAGTTTAACTTTTATTTATTAACTAATAATTAATTTAAAACATAACTTATTAAGAAAATCTTACTTCTTCCTTTAATTTTTTTCCTTCTATCTTCTTTATCGAATTTTATGTAGCTTTTTTTTTTTACCTTCAATCTGCTAATCTGATTTGATGTGTACCAGTAGTCCCTATTTTAGCTCTTTGCCCAAGTATAAAAACTAACTCTTTTTTTGGAGTCTTCTTTTGCACATGCAATAAATGTGGGTTTTATCGTTATTTTCTGATGAACAGTTTTTCTCTTGACAAGTAATAATTTGGCAATTATAATTCAGTATATCAAATTATTTGTCAAGTTTAGCCATAAATCTATCTTTTAATTTTGCTTTTTTTCTACCAACCAGGTTTTAACTTTGCTTTTCTTCTAGTAACTAGGTTGGCTGCATTTAAATCATCCACCAATCTCTCAATAATATAATGTCCAATATCTGTTACAGGATATCCAAATAAAGGATATGCCTGAATCCATTTACCAATCAACTTTGAGTAAACATTGTTTCATTAAGTATTTTATCAGATAATTTCTTTTGTTTTTATTGTGCTTTTTTTAAGGAAACCTCTTAGCATTGGTAACTCTAATACAATAAAATCTGTTCCAGAACCTATATCTTCCGAAAGCATTGATCCACTTTACAAAACATAAATTTAAAAAAATTTTTTTTTGGTTTTAGTTTTAAATTATTGCCGTAAAAAACATATATAAAAAAAAAGTCCTCAAATTTTAATTTGGGCGGCGCCCAAATATGGTCTAGAATATATATATATATATATATATATATATATATATATATATATATATATATATATATATATATATATATATATATATATATATATATATATATATATATATATATATATATATATATATATAAATAAAAGGGTGACCTTTAAAAAAACTTTTTTGAGAAAAACCTGTTCCCACCCCCTAAACATGTTCAATCTAATACAAAAACACTAGGTTTAAAAAATACTTTTAGGGGACCCTCAAGACCCTCGAATAGGTATAAATTAGTAAATAACATATCTAAATTTCTTATACAGTCCCTTTCACCGACTGTAGGTTCATCAGAAAGATGAACCTAAAGAAAATAAAACAGACTGTAGAAGAAATTTAAATATGTGTATTTACTAATTTAATAATTTGTTCTTTAAGAACATTAAGCACTCTATTTGTAGAATACACTAACCTAACTTAGAAATGATAACTGTTAATGTTAAATAGTAAATGACCGGGTTTAATACAAGGGTTGAATTAAGGCGATTTGCGATATCTGTTAAATTATCTGCTCTTCAAAGTTTCAGTTTATGGAAAACCACGAAATTTACGGAATAGGCGAATAAACTTTAATTTGTTAGTGAAAATGTTATGAAAAACAAAACAATAAATTTATGACTACAAAAGTAATAACACTACAGTGTTGTTACTTTTATAACACTCTTTTAAGTTACATTTATAGTTTATTGTTTGATCAAACAACACATAATCAAGCTATTATAAATAAAAATGATTTAGTTAAGTAATTCCAAACTTTAATTTAAGTAGTAATGCATCTAGAAAAAATACAACGGATATTTAAACAATGTTAAAAACCTTAGCAACTTTTAGAAATACATATTTTTATAAACAGTTTAGCATTTCTAAACATCTTACTAACGGTCCAGACAAAACGCGCGTTCACTTTAAAATCAACCAATAAAAACACTGGTAATTTACTTCTTAGGTGAAATCTATATTAAAAGGGGAGGTGGGGGGGGGGAGGAGGCTATAAACTTAAATTTTGTTTAATTATTTAATCAATTAAATCATAATAAAAGTAAAGACAAAAAAATATATTTCTAAATATACTTCTTTATAACTAAAATTTATTAAATTGAACACCTCTGTTTTTAGTTTTAAGTAAATGTCAGTACTACTCTCAGTGGCGAAACTGCGGGGGAGAGGGGATAGCAGACAAAAAGTGTCCTATTTTTAAGCTAATTTTAGGTTGCATGGGCGATGTGGGTCTCATTTTGAAAATTGTGCGTGGGGGGCGGGGGGATATTTTGCTACTGACTACTCTAATGTGCTTAATACAAAGGTAGGTGGGGGTGAGAATTTTAGTCCGGATGTATAAAATGGGAGGAGGAAATAATAAAAAAAAGGGGGAGGATTTACAATGAAAGTTTTATTATTTATCGGTTACCAATATATATTTGTTTAACTTTAAAGCCAATTTTCACTGAATTTTTGTTTTGAGATATAGTTTTTTGTTTATAACAAGTGAAAATGAACAAAACTGGGTTGGGGGTTGGGTTTTAATAAGCTTGGTGTGGGAGGAGAAGTTTTCCAAAAATTATCAACTCTCCTAACCATAAGCACCTTAAAGAATTTTTATTATAAAAGTAGCAAAATATCCCCCCCCCATGCACGATTTTCAAAATGAGCCCCACATCGCCCATGCAACCTAAAATTAGCTTAAAAATAGGACACTTTTTGTCTGCTATCCCCTCTCCCCCGCAGTTTCGCCACTGAGAGTAGTACTGACATTTACTTAAAACTAAAAACAGAGGTGTTCAATTTAATAAATTTTAGTTATAAAGAAGTATATTTAGAAATATATTTTTTTGTCTTTACTTTTATTATGATTTAATTGATTAAATAATTAAACAAAATTTAAGTTTATAGCCTCCTCCCCCCCCCACCTCCCCTTTTAATATAGATTTCACCTAAGAAGTAAATTACCAGTGTTTTTATTGGTTGATTTTAAAGTGAACGCGCGTTTTGTCTGGACCGTTAGTAAGATGTTTAGAAATGCTAAACTGTTTATAAAAATATGTATTTCTAAAAGTTGCTAAGGTTTTTAACATTGTTTAAATATCCGTTGTATTTTTTCTAGATGCATTACTACTTTAATTAAAGTTTGGAATTACTTAACTAAATCATTTTTATTTATAATAGCTTGATTATGTGTTGTTTGATCAAACAATAAACTATAAATGTAACTTAAAAGAGTGTTATAAAAGTAACAACACTGTAGTGTTATTACTTTTGTAGTCATAAATTTATTGTTTTGTTTTTCATAACATTTTCACTAACAAATTAAAGTTTATTCGCCTATTCTGTAAATTTCGTGGTTTTCCATAAACTGAAACTTTGAAGACCAGATAATTTAACAGATATCGCAAATCGCGATGCCTTAATTCAACCCTTGTAATATTTGACTGGGGCCGGGTTTGTGACCATAACTCCATAAACATTTAGACATCCTAAAGTATATTTTTTTAATTCAAAAATTATGTTATATTTTGTATATATATGCATATATAAACATCATTACAATCAACATGATCATCATGATCATCATGATCATCATCATCGTCATTATCAGGCTTTACCCTTATTTTACCCTACTTTATGCTGTTTGTCTAATATATACAATCTAGAGCATTTTTTTTTTCATAACTAAAGCTCATTCATACAATATGTAAGGCACTCCTAAAGTTTTCTTACTTCTACCACAACCATTCTCAACTAAAGCTGCTACCTCTCTATATTCTGACACCTAAATTACTTTAATCTTTTCTAACAAACGATGTTTGATACAAGATTTTTTTAAATCTGTCTAAGATTATGCCTCCTTTTTTTGTCTTGCTAGAGTCACACCACACACCCATCTGATCATTTGGTATTTTCTTTTGGCAAATACTACACTATATAAATACTAAAGTTTATATATCAATGAAATGATATTGTATGCCTGCATCTAAATAAATAGCAAACATATATGTTTATATCCATGAATTCATAAAGTGTATCTTGGAAGTTTTTATTCATTCTGGAATAAAAGTCTGGAAGCTTTTATTACTTCTCCTCAATGCTAAGTCAAGCCTCATTCTACTCCAAATTTTTCACCATCTTGAGCAGTTGCTTTATTAAATATAAATCATTTTTTTCCTCTTTTTTACAAAAGCATCTCTCTTAAGAATGCCCTTTTATTATCTTAAGAAGCCAATGTAAAAAAGTCCTGTCTGATTTTAAGCTCTGTTATTCTCAGTTTACTAAAGCTTGTATCTTATCTCAGATGGTAGATTCTAAAGACTTTTGTTTAGCCTTCAACAGCGTCATTAACTAAAGTAAGTCTAACATTTAATCTCTAATTCATGGGTCTGATTTTTTTTACTTCTCTCTAGAATAGGGTAGAGTTATTTGGAAAAACCTTTGCCTCTAAAAAAACCTTGACTATTGAATCTAAAGACCATATTCTTCCTGTCATACCAGTTAAACAGATTAACCCATTGTTAAACATCCAAATCACTCTGGCTTCCAATGCTAAAGTTAATTCTCAATTAAACACTTCTACAGTTTGTGCTCCAGACAAGATTTCCATCATAGTCTTAAAAAAGTGTTTTCCAGAACACTCTTCAATTTTTCTTCAATTTAAACTTTTTTTTCTTCTTCAATTTAAACTTTTAAAAAGAGCTAAATAAGTGGTTCAAATTTTTTAAACTCTAGAAACCACTTTGACCTCTACTAACTATCCTATGATTAGTCTTCACTCTGTATTATAAAGGTTTTTGAAGTTATATAAAGATTTTGAGGTTATGAAACTACTTCTTTCTAACTGCAGTAATAAAGTTATTCTTGAAGCCCTACCCGCCTCTTTATTTCAAGTAACTTAAAGGGTACCAAAAGGTTCTATTTTTGCTCCTGCATTGTTTCTTATCTACATTAACAATCTTCATGAAATCTAAAGTGCCTCTATTTGCTGACAACTCAACTTTATACTCTTGTCTTGACAAAAAATCTAACTCTATTTCTTAGAACAAGCCACCAATTTTAAATCTGATCTCTCTTCTGTAACAGCCCATGGCTTGCAGTGACTTATGAATTTTAATTCTGCACTTATAATCCACAGCTTTTATCTGTAACAATTAACCAAAACTCATTCTTGCTTGGCTTTTTATTTAACAAAATGCATCCTTTTACTGCATCTGTCCTTTCATGCTATAAAAGCTTTTAATAATTCAGTTTTTTTTCCTTGAACATCAAAAAAAAACAACTTATAACTCTTGCCCATCTTCATGTTTTTGTTAAATTATACAACTTACAACTTATTAGGTATTCAGTTATACTTATTCTCTGTTTTAAAGCAACTCATAACTTAAAAATGGTTGCTTGCAATCTTATTGAAAGTAAATTAGAGTTTAAAAATATGTCAGTGTATGCCAGTATTTAATAATTAGTAAATGTAAGCATAAAATTATAAAATATAAAGTATTATAAATTTTTTTCTAGTGCCAGCTATCAACCCCTGCTAAAGCTTATAATTTTGCTGGGTTTGCAAAAAGTTTAATTTTTAGCCAAGGCCAGGACCCCAATCACTTACTATTGTTAAATAGTAATATTAAATCAACACTGAGCAAATGATATACATACTCCATTTCCAAATCTAAGCATTTTTTGTTTTTATCATCAATCAGCCGATAAGCTCTTTCTTTCTCTTGTACAACTTCATTGTAATCTTGAATTCTATACAAAATATTTTAAAATATAAACAATTTATTATGCAAATTGATCAACTCAATAAAAAAAAAATTTGAAAAAAAAAGATTAAATAGTTATTTTCAAATAAATAATTATGAAAAAATCGCTACTGATTATAAAAAAAATATAAAAAGTATATGGTTTGGAATATACTCTTTTATGGTTTGGAATATAAAAGTCTTATAAAAAATTTATAAGACTTTTTTGTGTTATAAGTATTGTGTGTGTGTGTGTGTGTGTGTGTGTGTGTGTGTGTGTGTGTGTGTGTGTGTGTGTGTGTGTGTGTGTGTGTGTGTGTGATTTATTCATGACTACATTTCGGGCCAGATTTTATGCAATTAAATAATTTATGTTTAATATGAATTAAATAATTCATATTATTTATTTAAAAACAAACTGAAATGTCAAACTGAAACTGAAATGTCAAATTTCTATTTGAACCATTAAACCAAAAATGCTTAAGACTTACTTGAGTTCTAATTGCATGCACTTCTCTTGACTATGTTCATTGATTCTTTTCAATTTATTCACACTATTTTCAAGTTCTTGAATTCTAAAAAAACGCAGGGTTCAATTAATAATTGTGGATATATAATACTTCAATTAATGATAATATTATATAATACTATATAAATATATATAATGCGGTAGTGGTGTAGTGGTAGAGCGCTCACTTCATAAACGAGTGGTTCCAAGTTCGTTCCCCACCACGTCCCTGGTAGTACCGCGCTCAACTCGTTTCTCCGCGCAGCGGCCTTGTTCGTCAAGGTTCGTGTTTCGGAGTTATAGAGTTGAGAGAGGGTTATAGCCACAAATAAGTAGTCTTCTCGTCTGTAGTAGCCTTCTCGACCTTGAGAAGGTGAATTAAAATAAAAAAATAATAAAAAAAAAACTTCAATTAATACTAATTCAATTAATAATTGTGCAATTGACAAAAAATTCTGTAATAAAAATCAAAAAAGTATAACACTATACAAACTTACTTTAACTCTAACAAATCAATTTCCGATTTTTTCTGGATTAAATCATTTTGAAGAGATTTTATTTCATCGTAATGATTGGGTTTAATTTGATTATTATTCATTTCTTGAAGTCTTATAAGAAATAAAAAAGCTTATAGCATCATTTTTAATTATAATTAGTAATCATATATTGATTTTAAAAAATGTAAACTATACTGCAGTGTGCTTTTTAGAGTAAATATGACAAAAATTACTGGATTTCTAGCTTTTGTATATCATCACATTTTGACTTATTCATTGATCTTAATTTCTCATTTAAATTCATCAACTCGTCAACTTTGTGTTTGAGATCATTAATTTCATTATCACGAAAGTCCAATGATTTCATCAACAAAGCAATTCGTTCAGTGTGCATATTGCTGGCAGATGTACTTAGTTCAGTTAAACTAGAATATTTAATAATGTCATTAGTAAAAACAACGTTATTTAAAAAATTATATTTATTATTTAATAGCTTTCAAATAGGAAATTCATTTATCATACTCTTGCATAAGAAACAATTTTAATCACACTTTTACATAAACAACAGAATTCATCAGTAAAACTCTTGCATAAAAAACAATACTCATCAGAACATCATAAATTCAAAAATTTTGTTGAACAAAAAATTGCGTTAACAAAATTTTTTGTTTTTCTAGTCTCTAAAAACTCTTTTAAATGCGTGGCTTGATTTATAGAGGACCCAAAAAGGACCCCATAAAAAACATTTCCCCCCAGAAAATTGGAAACTAGAAATTTTTGAGCAGCCTCTCACCTTGTATTTATCAGGAATTGCATGGTAATTAGAAGTTTAAGAAAAATTCCAAAATTTCAAAATGTTGGCAAAATGATGCGGTTTTTCCAAAAAAAATTGGAGTTTTTTCTTTACAGCCAAAAAACTGTAAAATTGAGTTAACTTAAAAAAGTAATTACAATTAAATTTTTAGAATATTTTTATTTTGTTTTCTTCTAATTCTATGAAAATTGCCAAATATAATTTTTTTTTTATTTCTATACATTTTTGAAAGAAATACACTAAAAAGTAATTTTTGGATATTGTTTGCCTTGTGGCTATCAGAGATCGGTAGAAATTTCTGAAAAATTCTAAAATAGCTATAAAACAAGAGTAATGGTGCCAGCAAAATAGTTGTAAAGCACTTTTTTAATAAAATATTCCATATTCCTCAGTTTCAATGTGAGCTAAACCCTATAAAAATATATTAGCTTTTAAAAGACTAATGGTCAAAGCAATAATGGAGTGTTAACAGAACAAAGACTACTTGAGTCTAAAGAAAAATACAAAAAAAGATGTTAACAATAAACTTTGGGGTCATTTTATCAGTATCGTAATTGATTATAAATCATGATTTATAATTGATTATAAATCATAATTAATAATTGATTATAAATAATGATTTATGAATGATTAAAAATCATAAGTTATAATCGATTAAAAATCATGAGTTATAATTGATTGTAAAGATGAGTTATGAAAATATGATTAAAATTTTTTTTTTAAATCTGGAGATAAAATAAAATCACATAGAAAAACGACTATAAATTCAAAAGTAATCTAATTAATTCAAATCAAAGAAAGTGTTGAATTTTATTAACTATTTTGCTGGCAACCCTTGGCCTCATTTTAAAGTCATTTCAAAAGTTTTTTAAAATTTCTAGCAGTCACTAAAAGCCATGAGGCAAAAATTACTTTTTAGTGTATTTCTTCCAAAAATGTTTTGAATTAAAAAAAAAATTTTTGTAAGGCATTTTTATAGAACTAAAAAAAACACAAAAAAAAAACAAAAAATTCAAATAAGTTAATTTTAGTTACAGGCTTTGTTATGAGATTTTATTGTGTAACAAAAGCGCATAACACTAATAAATATAACTTTAATAAAGCTTTGATACTTACATCATTAAAACTTTATTTGTGTCATCAGTGTATTTTAAAGTTGTAATTAAATTTAGTAATCTTATATTTAACATAATCTTTTATTTATTAGGGTTCGCCACAAATTATGTCATGCAATTTTTGAATATTTCAGATTCCCTGATTCGCAGAAGGCATATGGAAATCGCAATTTTGTATGTAAAATACAAGCTGAGTAACGCTTCTTAACGAGGCTTCAGCTTTTAATTAATTCAATTTTACATTTTTTCAGCCATAAAATAAAAAAAAAAACTTTTTAATTAAAAACTGCTTTGTAATTTTTTTTCTGGCTGTTTTGCATATTTTTTTAGGCCTATTTAGGATATTTTCTTAAATTTCTAGCACAAGCTGCTGCCCAAAAAGTGCTTTTCTTATATATATTCGAAAAAAATCACGAAAATTAAAAAAAAAAAAAGATTTGTAACGCGATTTCCAAAGAATAAAAAGAAAACAAATTTTTTTTTTTATTTAAATATGAATTTTTATTTTCTGAGAAAAAAATTTTTTAATGAGCTTTCTTTTGGGTCCTTTATAAATCAAACCATGCATCAAAAAAATTTTTTACCAAAAGATCTGGAAGGACCACATCTTAACTAACTAGAAAAACAAAAAAATTATAAACTTTGTTCAACATGTGAATTTATGATGTTGTGCGCATAAAAATAATATTTACCAGTCCAACATAAAAAACAACATAAAAACAACAACACTACAACATAAAAAAACACAATGAAAATAAAAATATAGAAAAATAAGATGTATTAAATAAACCACAACATTCATATAAAATACAGTGTTCACAGAAAGAATTAAAAAATAATGCTTTATGACCAAAGGTATATTTTTTTTATCTTTGCACAAAATATTTATTTAGTTTTTTATTGAATAAAAAACGTTTTGTTTTTTATAGCATAAACTTTAAAACAAAACAATGAAATACCTGGCTTCTAAAATATTAATACGCTCATTTTTAAGCTTTAACTCATGTTCTAGATATGAACTGCTTGCATTTGAACGCTCTAGCCTAAAATGAAAAAAATTAAAATTATAAAACCGTCTTTTCTGTTTCCTCTATATCATTTTTTAAAAGTATTGGAAATATTTTCTTATAAATATTTAAAAGTGCCCAGAAAATATTTTATTTTGATGATTTATTTCTATTTATCTCTATTAAATCAGCCCGATTATGGCTGTTTTAATGCATTATAAACATTTAAAAAGATAAAAGCCTAAAAGCCAAAAAATTCATTTAATTAAAAAAAAAGTATTGCTAAATATTAATAATATTCAATAATTTTTATTCAATATAAAGCTTTAGAAGACAATTTTGTCTTCTAAAGCTTTGTCTACTTTTAACTTACATAATATTTCAATTATCAGACTTGTTTTTTTTATTGGATAAAATATCTTATTTTTAAACTTGTTTTTAATTACTTTTTATTAAACAACTAACATTTCTTCAAAATGATTTTTTGTCAATTTGTAAAATCATGTAAAGTTTGTCATTTCCTCCAATTTTTTATTGTCATATTCAACTTTTACAGTCATTTGATAACTTTATTAAACAAATATATGTTTAAACTTTTACTGCTAGAATACATTTTGCATTTCTAAAAAAGGTTGAACAGAAATATTCCAGATAGAAAAAAAACACTCTAGATAAAATTCCAGATAAAAAAAAATCTGACTCAAATATAAAAAATGCTTTTTTCAAAAAAAAAGCATTTCATTTTGTTTATCCAAAACAAAACATAATGCTTTTTTCATACTTTTTGGTGTGTTGAATGTTTAAAATAAAGAACTTCCCTCATTAAATAGCATAAATTAAAAGTTTAGATCAGTGCTAGAATAAAGGTAGGACTTTTTTAATAAGGGACCCACAGTTTTGGGGTCCCTGATTTAAAGTAAAAGATATTTTTAAAAGAAATATTTGATTAATTACATGAAAAGGAAATTACTGCTTTAAAATAGCCTCAGGTCCCATTGAGTCTTAATCTGCCACTGGCTCCAATGCAAGATAAGCAAGCAAGATACTATTGCATTGACTAGGGATCATAAAGTTACCTACAATCACAGTATTATAGTATATTTGCCATAAGGCAAATCTAGGCAACTACCAAGGGGTGCCAACCAAAAAAGGCCACTAATTTTACTTTTCTGTGAAAAATTATGAAAGTTTTTTTTTTTTTTTTTTTTTTTATCACATATTCAGAATTATTTTGAATTTATTTGAATTTTTTTTTCTTAGTCACAAATGCAGCATTGGCTAAAAAACTAAGTAATAAGGTTTTACCTACTACCTGTGTGGTGTATTGAAAACATTTTGTATAACATTAAAATAAAATGTTGTATAATACTCAAAACATTTTGTATAACATTAAAAGTATTGAGAAATAAAATCAGTGCATAAAATACTTTATTTCAAGCTGTATAAAGGAATAGTCAGTAGATTAAAAAAATGTTCACGCTAAGATATGTCACAAAGTATATATTACATAACAGCTATATTACATGTAGTAAAATGAAGCTTTAAATACATTTTGGTTGTTTTATTCAACAATTAAAATACTCTTTCTTTTTAACAAATAATAAGAAAATTTTCCAGGGGGTAATTGTTTAAAATTTAACGGTAAATTTAGCAGAAAATTTTCTGGTAAATTTACCAGTAATCTTTGCAACACTAGATTAAATCATGCTGGCTTTTGTCATATCAGCAAAGGATGCTCAGATAGGAGCAGAAGACGCTTAGATATTATACTCCATATTATGTTCAGAGCTCTTATAATATTTCCTCTAGATATTTATATTTTTGAATTTTTTTTTTAATGACTTTTTTTAGTATTATATTTCCCATGTCAACATGACTAAAAGGTTCTGTTGATCACCTAAATAGAATTGAGGCATAAAAACCAAAAAACTAAATAACAAAAATAATAAAAAAATTAATCAATATAAATAAAAACAAAGCAAAAAAATAATAAAAATAATTGATATGATATACAAAGATCATAGACCGCTAGGCTAGAAAATGCCAAAAAAAATTTGCTCAATATAATAACCATAATAGTAAGTTGATAGTAAAAATTTTAAATTAACATGGCTGAATCAATATATGAAAAAAAAATCACATCAAATTATTGTCATCAAATGATAAAATATTGCTTACTCAAGTTCAAGGGAACGAATTTTTTCAACTGAGGATTTTACCATGTCATGTAAAACATTCAATTTGGTTTCTTTATTTTTTAAGTTAACTTGCACTTGTTCAAGTTCTTTTGAATTATCTTCTATCAAAGTAATCCTATCAATATTATAAATATTTATTATCTTAAATAATTATAAACATAAATATTAAATTATTGATAATTGTTTATAAACTATTTCAAAAAACTTTACTTTGATTCAAGACTTTTTATCCTGTCTACTTTATCATCAAGTAACTTGTTTATTTTCTTTGTATTTTCACCAGCTGCTCCCAATAAATTTGTCATTCTGAAAAAATTAAGTCACATAAACAAACATAACAATAATATAAATATTATACTCAATATAAATGGAATGAAAACAAGCTTTTTAGTTTTTAAAATAAGTATAAATAACTAATCTTTATATATTTTCTTATACTTTTTTACAGAGAACCTAACTACTGTTCTACTTATCATTAATATCATTAAATAAAATAAAAATAATCATTTAATAATTGCAAATACAATTAGAGATTTGAGTAACTATTTTTTGAAATAATTAGGGGCCTTATAGTCTTGAGTGTAAAGCCATCATGAAAGATGATGAACTTTAGTGGCTGTAAAAGCTATTTCATTTTATCTTAAATGTATTGCAATTAGGCACAAGAGCAACACCATTATGGGACAATGTTACTAAATAAAACAAGAACATTACATTTTAAGTTAAATTACATTTTTGAACAAATAAAACTTTAAAGCAAATACACACTATGTGTTAATTTTAATTAACTGAAAATTGCTATGAATATAGGTAATCATATTTATCTTTACAGAGCTAAAAGATGATCCTCTAGAATTAACAACAAGGCCTATCATATCATATTTAATATGTATGTATGTATGTATGTATGTATGTATGTATGTATGTATGTACGTACGTATGTATGTACGTATGTATGTACGTAGGTATGTACGTAGGTATGTATGTTTAAGGCCAATATTAAAACATACATACATACCTACGTACATACCTACGTACATACCTACGTACATACATACGTACATACATACGTACATACATACCTACATACATACATACCTACATACATACATACATATATACATACATACATACATACATACATACATACATACATACATACATACATACATACATACATACATACATACATACATACATACATACATACATACAAACAAAAAGATGATCCTCTAGAATTAACAACAAGGCCTGTCATGGTGGCTCACTGAATTTTGCTGATTATTCATTGACGTCCATCAACTGATAACTTATATTTAACATAGGCAAGCAAGTTGGCATATATTTTATCTCTGAAAATATGCAGTACACTAGGATCAATACAAAATATGATTTACACAAGGATCAAGTTGACAGGCTAGTTTAGTTAATTGAAATATCAATATACACTTGTCAAGTTTTAAATAACTTGTTTGATTTGTTTAATTTCAAGAAAATCATCAAGATGAACAAGAATTTTATGCTAATAAGAGGTACAATCACCAGTGTGTAGCTGTCTTCACTTATTACATGGGTTAAAGACTCAAAAACTTTAGAAGTCAATAGAAAACCTTTAATAGAACAGTTTTGTTAACATTGAAAACATTTTTGCAAGTACTTCTGCTTTGTCCTTGGAAAAAGTACCAATGGAACGTTAGACCTATGATATAGAGATAGAATGTTAGGCCCTTTGTTAATGATATTGTTAAAAATTTTCTGAAAGCTTTAAGAAATTTCTGAGATAAGATCTAATAACCTGAGAGTTTAGCTTAAATCAAGAAGATTATAAAAAAGGCACAATTATCAGTAGAGAGACAAGAGACATCAGCCCAAGAATCATCACAAAGAAAATTACAAAAAGAATGCCAGTCATCCTTAAGCTAGTAATAAGAAGTGTGATGTAGAAGTAAATCTGATGTAGAACAAAACAAAAATATTTGTGAACTAAATAGGGTTTGCAAAAACCCGGAATATTTATATTCCTGGGATTCTTTATAATTAATTCCCGGAATTTCCCAGCATTATTTTATGCTTTAAAACTAAAAGAAAAGTCATAATTTAATTAAGTATATTGCAGTAAAATGAATAAAACTTGTACATAAACTTATTTATTTTGTCTTTAGAAAATATGCTTGTAGAAAGCTCAAATTATCTAAACTATTATCACTTAAGCGACTTCTTATTTTATTGCAAAATAGTCCTACGGAGGAAAATGCTCTTTCTGATTCTACGCTTGTTGGTTTAATCGTCATTTAAAAATCATAAACCGATTAAAATCACCCCGAGTACAACCACTTTCAAATAATGACATTTCTTTTGATAATTTGGAAGAGTTTTGCCTAATCTTGACAAAGAATTTCTGGGTGCTGCTAAAAAACTTTTATCTAGGGCTTCATTTAGTTCCTCACTAATAGTTTTCGGCATTTCATTAGCAGCGTTTTTTGGTATTTCATCATGTTCTTGACTTACTAAATATTCAACGCTGTCCAAGGAACTTAATTTTGTTACTTTTAATCTACTTATAAGGTTCAACATTATTATTTTATTTTTTAATGTTTGAAGATAATTCAAAAACTTCATTTATGGGAAATAATTTGCTTTCTACGTTATGTAGATAGCGCAGTAGACAATTTAATTCAGTCCTTTGCTCTTTGATTCTAGAGCTAATGCATTAAAAAGTTGACTACTTGTTGTAGTATTCAGTTGTTTTAATTTAGTTAGCTTTAACTCTAAACGCAATGTCAGACTTTATAAGTTTTGCATCGCGTCGACAAAGCTTTTATTGGTATTAGCACATTTACTAGTACAGAAACAATTTCATACTCACAGGCTTGGTCGGAAAGCAGGTGCGATCGGACTCGATAAGTGACCACGGAAATATTATTTAGTTGCGAAAAACCGGCCAGATTTTTTAGTCGTTTTGAGAACATTTCAAAAACAAACAAAAAAACGCAATAAGATTAACTGGACCGATGAGAGACAGTTAAAAAAGAAAAATAACTTTTACACGAAAAAATGCGAAGGGCAATTATTTTTGAAACATTGCTCTTTTATAACTTTTTTTATAAAATAAAGCGACATTTTTTGTATAAAGTAACAACTATAAAGAAACAAATGTTCTTTGATTTATCAAAGAGTATATATAACTTTTATTTATATACTTATGTCTTATTTCCAGTGCTGGATTGAGGAAGTGGGGTGGGGGTAGTAAGGCTTTAGCCGCAGGACTCACAATGTAAGGGGAAATGATGGTCAAGAAGACCATTCGGTATTTTTTTAAGTCATTTTTACGCTGTGGCACATAAAAAAGGCCGCCAAAATAGTGCAGCCCCCGTCCCTGAAAAGTCCAACAAGATTCAACCAGATGATTTATTTATAAATAAAAAAGTTTTTTCAATAACTGTTTTATGCTTCACGTAGTTTAAAAAGTTTAACAGATTTGAAATGATTCTTCTTAATAAGATGAACAAATGAAATAATTAAATCATTGAGTTACTGTAGCAATTCAATTAGCTAGATAGAAATTAACAAAAAACGTTAAATTACTTTGTGAGGAGGAAGCGGAACTGCTTCACAACACCGCTGATGATGTTTAGTAAGTTGACTTCATAATTTTAATTAGTATTTAAAATAGAAAAAAGTAACTTTAAGTATAACAAGTTTGTAAGAATGGCTGAAGCAAAAATAGTAGAAGTTAGTAAACCAATTTCTAAGAACTTAAAAACTTTTCTTTCTTAGGAGAAAGAATCAGTTATCGGGTACACTGAGGAAAATGGAATTAGTGGTTAAAATTATTTGTATTAACTTTGACGATTATTAATAATTTCATTGAAAACGCAGTTATTATTAGAAGTATTTTTGTTTACAAAATCAATCGCACAAATTGCTTTAAAAGATTACATTTGAATAAAATACACATAGATAAAATTACATAGATAAAAATACATTACATACATAAAAATACATTGCATACATAAAAAATACATCTCTTATATATAAAAAATAATAATATACTAATAAAATCTAAAATGTATTTACAAAACGTTGACAAGTTAAAGAATATAATTTTAAAACATTTATTATTGTAAACAAATGTTAGTTTAAACTATTTATAGCTTTGCAGATGTGGCTCCAAGAATTAAAATATTAGTTTGTTTGATAGTATACTCTTAAAATAATTTATGCTAGAAATCTTAACAAAAACGTAACAAAATTCAAATAATACAGTTGTTTAAAATATTTCAATAGAATACTCAGTACATTTGGTTAATTTTTTTTGAATACTCTAGAAATTTCGGTTAGTATTTTTTGAACCAATAGAATTAGTTGTTTGTAGATTTAGCGGTTTTTTTGTGTTTGCGAATATTCTTTTTTTATTTTTCCGCAAGATGTTTGAGAACATTCAAGTTTATGTACGTTTCCATGTAAGTCCGTAAAACAAAAAATTTTAAAATTTACGACAAAATGAACTTATTATTTTGCGGACAAACAAGGAAACATACATAAACTTCAATGTTCTCAAAACGACTAAAAAATCTGGCCAGTTTTTCGCAACTAAATATTATTTCCGTGGTCAGTTATCGAGTGCAATCGCACCCACTTCCCGACCAAGTCTGTACTCATTATCTGACATTTTTATAGCGTCATTAATACTGATATCAACAAGTCCCTTTTTTATGCAATTTTTTAACTTGTGAATTCTTTCAAGCATTAAATAAAGGTTTTTTCTAAAGTAATTTTTTATGTATTTTTGAAGGCAGTCAGCATTCTTAGCTGGTGATCCTTTAAAAACCATCACGATTTTTCTAACTATATTCATCACTGGACCAATCGCTTTGTTTGTAATTATTATGTCTTCAATTATTTGACTAAATGTCTCTGCCTACTAAATGTCTCTGCCTACAATTTGATGCTGACGTATGATATAAAACTGAAATAATAGCCAGTTGAATACCACGAGCAAAGTATAGCTGTTGATTAATCTGTAACAGTTTTCCAATTTTTTTCATTACGCTAGCTCTATCTGTCATTATGAACACTATTTTCAAGATTTAACACAATATTTCCAAAAATTGTTGTGTAAATTGATATTTAAATATTGGGTATTTCGAATCGACGTCCACTTATCAAAAGAAATTGAAAACTTAGTTTCGCTGTTAATTTCTTGTCTAAATTCATTTCTTATACCATTCTTTATATTGTTAGAAAAATCAAGTACCAATTTTTTAACAGTGTTTGGAAATTTAGGAATGTTGACAAATTACCTCATAGACAGTTCAGCACGTATATCAATAGAAGTGCATATTACGTTAAAAAAAATCACATCTTTAGCTATTAATCTTGCAAGCACCTCAGACAAGCTTTCTTCTTTATTCATATTTGATGAAAAATATGAACTAATTTTACTTTTTTTACTCAGTGATTCTTCTTCCGATGTCAGAAAACTGCTTTTAAATTTATTTTATGTAACTGAAGATGAGAATGCAGAGCTTTTGTTGATCCCCCCGTAATTTTCAATACTTTTTTGCAATGGCTTAGTTTACACATTGCTGTTTCACTTTCTTTGCTGCGCAGAAAATGTTTCCATTTAGGGGTTTTGCTGTTGAACTCTATGAAATTTGGCATAATATAATTTGATGAATCAAAGAAAATATAATAATATAATTTTAACTTTCTTATTAAGATAAATTTTTCAATAAATTTATACACTATTATTACATATACACTCGATTATAACAAAAACACAATATAAATCAATACAAATAAACTTTTTTTTTTTTTTTCTAATAATTGTTATCATTATTTTAATTATTGATATTATTATTATAATTTAGTTTTAATAATTAAAAACTAGTTTCTTACTATTTCCTCATAAACACACCAGTAGTGATAACAATATATAAGATCGATTAAACTTACTTTAAACTTATAAATCAATAATGAAAACATTGCATTATATTGGTGCTAAATATTATAGCTTTGTTATTACTTTTGTTTTATTTGACGCAATTTAAACGCAGGTATTAATCGTATTTTTATAAATTCTAAATCCCGGGATATTTTTGAAATAATCCCGGGAATTCGGGGTTAAAAAATTAGGTGGGATCCCGGGATTTCGGGATCCGGGATTGCAAACCCTAGAACTAAACCACTTAAAGGAGAACAAGGAAAGACTAAGAAAAGGCTTGGGTAAAAGACAAGACACAAAACAAGGAATAAAATTAAGAGATTGTTTTTTTATAGGGTTGTAAGGTTGTTTGGAAAATGAGCTATAAAGTTAACTACCTCAGTAAGAAATTAAGAAAGACAAAAACTTAGAGATTTAGAACCAGCTGGGTCAGCAGTACTAAAATCAATCCATTCAGTGCAATAATCATTCAAGTCACATATATAACAATATTGAGTGAGGGATAGAGAAAAAAAGTTTTGTTCATAAAACAACATTAAAAAGAGTGTATTCTTTTTCTCACAAAGAGCAAGTAAATTTAGTGAATTTCCACAGTAATGGGCAAAGTGGTTTCCTTATCCTACTAATCAACCTAAAGTCAAAACATAGGGCTCCTTATGCAGCCTCAATGATGTACACCAAAAATACTAACATGAATAACTTTCATGCGCAACATAGCATTGTTAATACAATGTTATTTTACAGTTGATAGTGGAATTAATGTCACTGAGAGCTACCGCAGAGTTCAGAAAACCTTACTACCAGTCAATCTCAGAACCATTGAATTGCTAGATTTTAAGAGCTAGACCTTTATTAGAAGATATAACTAAAGAGACATAAATCATAACCAAGAAGACACAAACAAAAACCCAAAAGTAAAGATCCAGGGTTCAACATCCGAGGCAGAAAACAATGTAACACAGATTTAGATCAACACCAGCCAACATGCATGAGGCATGAGGCTGGTCAACAGAAACTTTCTACTTATCAATAAAGTCACAAGACAGTGGCTAGATGCAGTTAACACCCTTGAGACACTATCTCTAGCCTTAATTTAACCAAGAGTCCCAAATCAAGGGGTATTTAAAAACAGTCTAAACTTCTCTTAGTCTTTGCCTAAAAAAGTTAACTCTACATGGCAGCAGAACATGAGGCAGATTGTATTAGATTGTATTTACCAGTACCAGGACCAGGATTACTGAACATATTAATGGGACGAACTTCTGCAACATATTACTGGTAGAGATTACTGGTAAAAATAATGATTGCGTCGAAAGAAAAAAAAAAAAACATTAAAAAAGCAAAACAAAGATAAATAAAAATAATACCTTTCTTGGATTTCTTCATTCTGCAAACTGTTAGGAATATGTGTTTGACCAGTCTTTTTTTCAAAACTTCCAAATTCACTATGCCTAAATTTTTAAAACTTAATGACAACAAAAAAATAGAAAAAAAAAAAAAAAAAAACTATTTACAATATTCGAAAAAACATTTTTAACCACATTTTATTTGCTATAATATTTATTGCCCTTGATAAAGGTTTCTAAATGAAAACTTCTTTATTTCAATATTTACTTTTACAAACATTTTGGTATAAGTTACTGCCGGAAAAAAATTAAAGTTGTTTTAAATAAATGTTACTCATTTTTCATTGAAAATATTGTTCTTATTTTATTATTAAAATTATACTTTATTTAACAATTTTAATTCATCTCTCTCTCTCTCTCTCTTTATATATATATATATATATATATATATATATATATATATATATATATATATATATATATATATATATATATATATATATATATATATATATATATATATATATATATATATATATATATATATATATATATATATATATATATATATATATATATATATATATATATATATATATATATATATATATATATATATATATATATAAATATATATATATATATATATATATATATATATATATATATATATATATATATATATATATATATATATATATATATATATATATATATATATATACAGTACCGAACTTAATTAACTGAGCCAGCTGATTTTCATACAAAGTTATGACTTTCAGTCCATATTGTTTGATTAATTGACTTTTGGAAGTTAGGCAAACCTTTTGAAAAGTGATAATAATAACATTGAAGTTGATTTGTAAAATTAAATAAATATTTCTAAGAGGTTAGTAGATATTTAATAGTATTATTTGTGGAAATGGTGTAAAATTTAGTAAATTTATGATTTTCATGTGTTTGAATAACATGAAATAAAAGGAAATTATGTTATTGTTATATTAATTTGAGTGATAATACAAGTTATCCAAATATGCATACAGGTAGTTTCATCCAAAAAAGTTGAAAAAACAATAAATATTCATTATTTATTTTAATTTTTTGGTATTTTATAAGAAAAAAAAAGATAAATTGAAACAAAATAATTTAAAATTAAATTTAAAGTCAGCAATGCTTCCAATATGTAATATTGTGTCAAATAAAGCAGAATTTGTATAAAAGTTAAGTTAAAATGGTATATTTTATCTTTTTAGAGAATGACTGGAGCTAAGAGGTTAAGTATGGAGACGCGGATGAGGGTAGTCTTGCTGGCCGAGCAAGGTCATTCGCATCGCCAGATCGCTACAGACCTGAAAATCAACCGCAAAACCGTTGATTCATTGGTAATAAAGCATAAGAATACCGGCAGTGTTGGGGATTTAGCTGGAAGAGGGAGGAAGCGAGCTACCACTGAGCGAGTGGACAGGCAGCTTATCCGCATGTCAAAGCGTAACCGATGGTTGACTTTGCCGGAGCTGAAAAAGGCATGGAACGAGAACTACGGAGTTGACGTAACCAGCCATACTGTGCGTAAGAGACTGCGGGCAGCTAATCTGCGTGGTTGTGTAGCAGCAAAGAAACCACTTCTGTCCGAGAAGAATCGTTGCAGCAGACTGGAATGGGCGAAAGCTCATAAGGATTGGACGGCCGATGACTGGAGCAGAGTGTTATGGTCAGACGAGAGCCCGTTTGAGTTGTTCTGTACTGCAAAGCGTGCCTTTGTGAGAAGGAGGCCAGGGGAGAGATTTAATGCTGACTGTATTCTGCCAACAGTAAAACATGGGGGTGGGTCAATAATGGTATGTGGTTGCATGAATGGTTTCGGGACGGGAGAACTTCGGAGTATCGAAGGTACTCTTAACCAAAACCGATACATAGAGTTGTTGGAATCAGCTATGTTGCCATCTGCTGCAAAGCTTTATGATGGTCAGCAGTATATTTTCCAGCATGACAATGCACCTTGTCACATAGCAAAGACTGTGACCACATTTCTCAGGTCTAAAGGTGTCATAACGATGACTTGGCCGGCCCAGAGTCCGGACATGAACCCGATTGAGAATTTGTGGGAAGTGCTATTCAAAAAGGTGCAGAACAGAAAGCCAAGTAATCTGGATGAATTGTGGCACATGATTTCCAATGCCTGGAATAATATATCATGTGACACTCTCCAGAATCTGGTACAGTCAATGCCGCGTCGCTTGAGGGAATTATTGAGGGTCAAGGGTCGAAGTACAAAATATTAGATTTTTTTCTTTCAATGACTGAATTTCTTTGTTATATTGTTATATTTACATATTTTGTACATTATTATAAAATACTATTGCTATCTGTAAATAATTAAATCAGTATTATTTAAGATTGTGTCTTCTTTGCATGAAAATGTGACTGGCCCAGTTAATTAAGTTCGGTACTGTATATATATATATATATATATATATATATATATATATATATATATATATATATATATATATATATATATATATATATATATATATATATATAAATATTAAGTTGTTTTAAATAAATAATACATATATATATATATATATATATATATATATATATATATATATATATATATATATATATATATATATATATATATATATATATATATATATATATATATATATATATATATATATATATATATATATATATATATAAATATTAAGTTGTTTTAAATAAATAATACATATATATATATATATATATATATATATATATATATATATATATATATATATATATATATATAGAATTAGTGGTAAAAAACTACTCACCATACTTCTTTTAAGACATCTAAGTCAAGAATTAGACCCTGTTCAACTAGTTTTTTAGTAATATCTTCTAGTTCATTAAAGAAAAGAGCTTGTGAACTGTAAAGTTTAGCCATTTTTTCACTTTGATTTCCAATGACATCACCAAGTTCGCGGTTAGCATTTTTCTCCAAAAGCAAACACTAAAATGATAAAAGCATTGACTAATAGTATATAAATTAAAGATAATAAAAGAAAAAATATATATTAAAAAAGCATTTACTTTAGTTTTTAAATAACTTATAAACTAATATACTTTTTAAAATTTTATTTTTTATTATAAATTTAAGAGATTAAACAAGACAATAAAGTTAAGTGGTTAAATAAACTTATAAGACTAAAAACTAAAGAATTAAAACATTAAAGTTTTTTAAAATTTAGTTTTAAAACAAAAAATTTATCTTTTTAAATTTACTTCTCATTAAAATTTATTCTAACATATTAATATATAAATTAACTTAAACTAAGATTAAATAAAAATTTTAATGCTTGTGTTTGTGTAAATATTATATTTATATCAATTATAAAAAAATCTTTAAAATAATATCTCTTTTTAAAATATATTAAAAACGTATCATATTTACATGAAAATGTGCCAAAAATGATAAATCTTTTTGCACCAGAAGCACAATGTAATGAAGACATTTGTTAATAAAAAGTATGTTGTGTTAATTGGCAAGCAAAAGCAACATACAAATCTCTCATTATATTGATTACTGGTTGTGCAAAATGAACATTTTGAACAGTACAAACTTGACAAAATGGTATTCGCTATTAATTGACTAGCATTTAATAATCTTGTTTAATAATTGAAAAGCAATAAATATTTAAAGTTAGATAAAACTCTTTTTGTATTGCTTTTGAATCAGCTGAAAATGCATAGAATGAAAATGTAATAAAAAAATCTTTAATTGAAATTTTAATCTGACAAATTAACTAACATCCAATTAAGTGATTACAACCTTGAGCCTTGATACTTCAGATAAAATTTTAGAAACACTGACAATAAAATATGCTTTTGTATAATAGTGAATCCAGTTAGTGTAGTAAATTTCAGTTGTCCAGTTTGGTCTTTGATTTTAAAATCATCAATTTCATGATATTGCTTTAACCTTTTTATGCTGAAGTTGTTACACTAAAACATGCAGCAATAGCAGTGACTTCATTGTTCACATATAATAAAAATTTCAGCATGCTTTTCCGTTTATGTTTTACATTTAAAATAATTCAAAATTTTTATTTGTCATTTATTGAGTTTGCCATGTGAATATATGAAAAAAATGATTCCATGTTAAGATGGTTGGTTCATTGGTTGTGATGTCTAACTTGCTTCATATCAGTGATTTGTGATTTTAAAAAAATATGTTTTGTTTTACATTTAACAAGTATTATTTGTAGTTTTCAACGTTAACCATCGTTAAAATTTAATTTTTGTTTAAACTTAATCATTTATTTTATTTCAAAATTTGTTTTAATTAAGTCTTTAAATATTGTGCGTTTATTTTAAAGTTAAAATCTTTACATTAATTTAATATTCAAAATTTATTTTTAAGAATTTTTAAAATAAATTGTTAAACTTGATTTTAAAAATCAATAATAAATAATGAATAAAATAAAGAGAATTTACTTCATTAGGTGCTTGAGTGTTTCCATTGATATGAACCAATGCCTATACATAGTTTACAAAATTACAGCAGATCCAAAAAATATTGATTCTAGAAAGATCATCCAGTCCATGCATAAATGAACCAAAATTGTGTCCTAATCCTTACTCCTTTTTGTCCATAAAATTTCTATAGCTTTTTAAACCTATTTCTATCATTGTGTTCTTAACAATATTTCTTATCTTTGTAAAAAAAATGTTTGTAAATGTGTTCATAATATAAAATATTTTTCATGGCAGAAATGAATTAAAGTTGTATTTTTTTTAACAATAGTTGTAATATTAGAAATATAACAACATACTTTTGAATTTTAAAATATATATTAGATGCCTCACTAACATATAGGATAAAAGTTTTGAACATTTTAAAATATATATTAGATGCCTCACTAACACATAGGATAAAAGTTTTGAACATTTTTTTGAACATTTTAATAAAAGTAAATTTTTAAAGCATTTTGCTACATTTTTGTTTTTATCACAATAAAAGTTTCTGAAGCCAGTTCTATAATGACTCAATTTTTTTTAATGCAATTTTTTTTAATGCATTATTAATTGTGTTCAGATAACTAATGAATCTAGACAAATGAAATTCAGTTGTTTTTTTTAAATAAAAGTTAATAAAAACTACTTGACTATGTGTTCTGAAGATTATAAGTAAAAGTGTTCTTTTAACTGAAAAAACATTTTTTAAACAAACTTACTAAAATAACATGATGAAATACAAAACTTATTTATTAGGTTCATAAAGTTTATCCTTACATTGAATGATAATAAAGCATACACTTGAATGTTTGCAATAAAATTTATAATACAAAATACAATTGCTAATCGTGGATAATGATAATAAAATAAAAAAGCAATAAATTTATTATAAAATGCAGGCAATTTATCTTATATGAATTTTTATTTTAAATGCATTTAAAAATAAAAGAAACTTTTATTCTTATTTTTTGTGTGTAAAATTTATTTTGTGCTTATTTACACATAAAAGTAATTTATTTTGTGCTTATTTATCCAACTTTTAAACTTATCTAAAAATGCAGTGAAATGTAGATTCAAATTTTTAACAATATTTGAAACAATATTATCAAAAATTTTATAACTTCTAAAGTTTCAAAAAAAAATTATTTATAAAATTCTAAAAAAAAATTCCAAAGTTTCAAAAAAAAAAATTATTTATAACCTTTTAGCTTTAAAGTTTAAAATGAAAAAAACGTTTATAATTAATATTCTTTGGAATAAAAGTTGATTTATTTTATTTATTAAAATTTAAAAAAAAAATTGCTTTTCTAATATTTTTTAAACTATTTTTTTATAACTTTTAATTTTTTATATTGTAGTTACATTTTCAAGCATATAATTGAAACAAAAAGTGCAACATGTAGTTTAAAAATCTCTCAATATTCAAATATAAAGTTTTTTTAAATCTGGATATAAATAAAAAATTGATAATTTTATATTCAGTACTTAAAGTGTTAAGCTGGAAGACAATAATTTAAAACAACTGGTTACTAAATAGCATTTTCTTTTGAATCAAGTTCACCAATTACAAATCATTGTTATAAAATAATTTTAAAAATTTTCGTTCACAATGTCCAAAAATTTTAAAGATATACAAAATATATTTTGAACCATATAAAATTAAAATTTAAAAAATTGTTTTTATACATTATTGTCTTCTCATGTTTTATGAAAAGACGCAGAAAACATGTATATGCATACATACATACATACATACATACATACATACATACATACATACATATTTACACACACACACACACGGATATATATATATATATATACACACATATATATATATATATATATATATACATATATATATATATATATATATATATATATATATATATATATATATATATATATATATATATATATATATATATATATATATATATATATATATATATATATATATATATATATATATATATATATATATATATATATTAAAAATATTATTTTTTATAAAATATGTTTGTATGTGTTTGTATGTATTATGCAGGTATGTATGTATATGCATGTATTTATATGTATGTATGTATGTATGTATGTATGTATGTATGTATGTATGTATATTTATATGTATGTTTGTATGTAAGTATGTATGTATGTATGTATGTATGTATGTATGTATGTATGTATGTATGTATGTATGTATGTATGTATGTATGTATGTATGTATGTATGTATGTATGTATGTATGTATGTATGTATTTATGTATGTATGCATGCATGTATGTATCTATAAAATTTATAATGTCATAGTAGAACAACCTTTGAAATTTCTAATAAGTATACAAAAAAAATTAATGTATTGATCTGCGTCCTTGCATCCACACAAAAACACAATAAATAAAGTTATTCTAAACTAGCCGTAATAAAGGAATATATTGCCAAAATATAAATAAATAAAAGCGGAAATATTTCAAAATATTTTATAAATAAATCCATAACTTTCAAAACAACAAAAAAAGTCTTAAATTATAAAAATTAATTGAAGATAATTTTTCTGATTTAAATTTCTAGATTAAAAAATATTTTAAAATAAATGTAGACTGTCAATGACGCTATTTCTTTATAAAAAAAGTAGCTTTCAACAAAATATATGAAATTGACACTACTTCTTTAATGTAACAACAATAACAATAACAAAAATAATTATGATAACACTGACAAGGCATACCTTAGTCAATGTAGTAATCATGTTCTTGTATTGAAATATGTTCTCAGACATCTGTTCATTTGATTCTTTGAGTTGTTTAATTTTATCAACAGGTATTCCGGTCTTCAAATTATCAATAATAAGGCTTAGTTGTTTGTTCTCTTTTTCCAGTCGAAGTAAGTCTGTAGAACTGAAAAATAAATAATTTGCATTTGCAACAAAATTTCAGAGAATTGTATTAATTGGTAAACATTAACAAAAAAAAGACAGCAACATAAAATAAACTTACGAGGTTTGATTGTATTCAACCAATAAGGGGACATTAATTCCTAAAGTGCAATTAAAGCTTTTCATATACAATGAAACAAATCACAACAGTTTCTCTCCAAACATTATAACTTAACAGTGTAACAGTATAACTTATAAAAAGTTAACTATCTGAGTATATGTGCAATATATGCAGTAGTATTGTAATGGTAGAGTGCTTGCTTCGTAAGTAAAAAGTTCTGAGGTTGATCCTCACCACATCCCTAGTGATACCACCCTCAACTTGTTTCTCCACACAGTAGCCTTATTTGTCAAGGTTCATGTTTTGCAATAAATAGGTGAATTGATATGTAAGTATATGTCCAGGCTAAGCATGTGACTATTGTCTTTGTAAACCAAGAGATAATAGCTATCAAAAATGAGATCTGAAGATGAAAAAACCAAATTCAAATTAGTCTCACTCAGAGCAAAAAAGACTGGTAAAAAGACTGGTAAAATTTGCAAGAGGTATGATTTAACTGATAAAAAGTCATTTCCACAAATATATTTGTAAAAGATTAACAAGACTAGGTGGTGGTGAAAGTTTTTTATGTTTAACATTTTTTGGTACTTTAGTCATGTTTTATTAGAGAACTTTAATCATAGATTATGCATGACAACCCAAGCAATGAGCTATACAGTTGCCACAGCCCTGCTAATTAACCTAAAGTCATAACAAATGGCTCCTTATGTGTTTTTAAGGTCTTGACAATACATGCCAAGTAAATTTCTCCTAGCTTTAGCCTAGAAAAGCAAATTCAAAAAAGTTGCGTGACATGGGGTAGGTTGTACTGGATTACATGCAAACAGTAGCAGGAAGATCATAATAATTCTGAGCCTGTTGTTTTAAAAACAAAGTTTGAAAAGCAAGCCTTCTGCCACCTGCTAAATATGTTTTTTGTAATAAATTAAAACCTGTTTTAATTCAAAAAATTAGCTTTAAAAACTATTTTTAAGAGTTGTTTCAGATCAAAGAACATTTGACAGTCCCTAATGTTATCAAAAAAAAAAATAATTTAACAAGTCAACATGGGTCTCAAAAAAATTAAAACTGTATAAAAAACTTCAAAATCATTTTCAATTATTTTTCAACTTGAAAAAAAAAATTAATTCAAAGAATCTTTGAAAAAAGAACTTTTTTATTTGTTATTTAATAAGTGTTTAATTTGTCAAAGTTCAATAAAAATTTATTTATCTACTAAACATACTGTTCTACTGACTACAAAATTTACTACTGTACTTTATCTACACATATATTCAAATGTTTAAAAATATTCATCTATACATTTTCGAATATTTAAAAATATTTATTTATACATATTCAAATATTTAAAAATATGAATAAATCAGATAATAGACATTATTATATAGACGATAACATGTCAACAAAAAAAAATTTTTTCTGGTGCCAAGCAAACAATTTGTTTTTTGTATAGTATTTTCCCATTTTTATTTAAAATATGCAACACATTTTTAACCATCATATCAAGTTGTAAAGATTTGGGTTCAAATCTTTAGTGTTTGGGGTAAAGTCATCTGCGGTAGTGGTGTAGTGGTAGAGCGCTCGCTTTATAAACGAGTGGTTCCGAGTTCGATACCCATCACGTCCCTGGTAGTACCGCGCTCAACTCGTTTCTCCGCACAGCGGCCTTGTTCGTCAAGGTTCGTGTTTCGGAGTTATAGAGTTGAGAGAGGGTTATAGCCACAAAATAAGTAGCCTCCTCGTCTGTAGTGGCCTTCTCGGCCTTGAGGAGGTGAAGTAAAATAAAAAAAAAAAAAAAAAGTCCCTAATATTGTCGAAAAAAAAGTTATTCAAAAGAATGTCAACCTGGGTCTCCAAAGAAGCATATTTTCATAGAGATTTTAAAAATAATCTTTACAACTTGACGTGATGGAAAAAATGAGTTGCATATTTGAAATCAAAATGAGAAATGCTATACAAAAAACAAATTGTTTACTCTGCACCAGAAAAAAAAATGTTTTTGTTGACCTTTGTAATCAACTTCTTTCACCAAATTAAATTGTAGATTAAAATATCAAATCTGAAAAATCAGAGATCCAAAAACAAAAATATAAATAAGTAAAATAAATATATAGAAAATAAATATATATTATTTATAGTGCTTTGCAACATTTTAAAAATGAAAAAAACAAATTTTTGATCTCATTACCATCATCCTGTTTCTGCATTCGAAGACCATTCAATTCAGCATTCATTGTTGAGCAAGCTGTCATGCTAAAAAAACATTTATTTAAAAATATTTTTAAATTATAAATATTATTATTTGCTACTATATAACTTTGGTGCTATTATGTTACTTTGGTTGCTATTATATAACTAGTAAGAGTTCCAGATTTTAAGCTAATAGAAATACATTTATAAGTATAAAGTTATATAAAGTTATATAAAGTTATACAAAGGTATAAAGTTGGAGATTAAAAACAAAAACCTCTTAAAAGTGTCAAAATTTAAAATTGTATTCAAAATAAAAGGAAAAAAGACAGAAGACTTAAAAAGTTGTAAGTTAGATGAGTTGAAGTTGAATATGAAGATAGGAGAGAATTCCAAAGAGTTGAAGTGCAGGGATAAAAACCTAATGGATAAATGTTTTTAGAGTATGTAGGGACATATACAGTAAAAGAATGGAAATATAAGAATGCCAACAGAATTGATAGTTGTTTGCAGTTAATAACTGAGTTTTGTTGAAATTAAAATGTAAAAGCCACAGCAAGCCCCAATCTGCTAAAGAAGTGAGATCAGATTCAAAATCAGCTGCCTGTTGCACACACTCGAAAAGAGAAGACTTTTTGTCAAGAGAGTTGCAAAAAGAGCTACTTTAGATTTAAAGTTATTGGGAAGATCATTAATATAGATAAAAAACAAAACAGGACTAAGGATAGAACCTTGAGATACCTCAGAAATTACTAGAAATGAAGAAGAGTGCTCGCCTAATTTCTTGATATAAGGTATGAGATTTTGTGTACTGATAATAATGGAGTTTAGCATCAGATAGCATCTTTTACATCAATATCTTGCAATAATAAACAGCTGTTTGTAAAAATAGTTGTTTTTTGAAAAAGATGAAAAAAATGATTACAATTAGATAGCAGTTACACAAGAAGGTAAAAACCATGGAGTAGAATGAGGCTTGAGTTGGAAACGATAAGGAATAAAAGCATCCATTCCTGCTTGGATCCAGGAGTTTATGTAGGAGGTGCATCAGCATAGAGAGAAAAGATATCAGCCTAAGGACCGTCACAAAGAAAATCACAAAATGAATGCCAATCAGCTTTAGCGTAGTAGTAAGTAGTGCAATGATAAGGTGAGTCAGAAGAAGTGCAAGATTTATAAAGATTATTGCATGCACTTAAGAGAGAAAATGGAGAAACTGAACACAAGCTAGGGTCAGAGACAAATCAAGCAGTGAGGAAATGATTAGAGTTGTCTGGAAAATGAGTCACAAACTATCTGAGTAAGAGATTGAGGAATGGAGAAATTATGGGCTTTAGTACCAGTAGAGTTAGTGGTATTAAAAAAAAGCCATTCAGTTTGATGAGCTTTAAAGTCACCAATAACAACATTATTGGCAGAGGAGTAAAGAGAAAGGGTATGGTCAATTTAATCAGAAATTACATCTAAAAGTGCAGTCTTATAAAGAAAGAGAACAATAAAGAACAAAGAAAATGATGAAAAAGTGAATAGATGCTAAACAAAAGCACATGAAAAAATGCTTAAAGGATTAAAACCTGATTTCTCAACAAACAGGTGAATTGATGCATAACTATACCCAAAAGCCAAGCATGTGACTGGAGTCTATGCAAATCCCATCAATACTGAGATCTGAAGAAGGAACAGCTGAACTTAAATTAATTAAACTAACAGCTGAATTTAAGAGCAAGCTGCCTGGTGAACTTTGCAAGAGGTAAGATAGAGGGTTATTCTGAAGACAATGAATATTTGTGAAAGATACATTAAAACAGTTAGGTGGTGGGGATGGTTTTTTGAGTTAAATATTTTGAGTTACTTTAGGCATGATTTAAGTTTAAAGACAACTGACTCATTCATAGATAGAGCACAGCATCCCAAGCAATGAGCTATACAGTTGTCTCAGATCTGTTAATAAACTTAATGTCAGAACTTAAGGCTCTTCATGTGGCCTTGACAATGCACACCAAAAGCATTAAAAGGGATACCATCTATGCACAACATCACACTATTAATACTCCAATATTTTCATCAGCAACTGATGGAATCAGCCTCTCTGAAAGCTTCTGGAAACCTTACTACCAGCCAGACTCGAAAACATTAAACTGAGTTTTAGAGCTGTACACTCATTAGGAGATAACAGGAAGAGTTGTATAGCCATTATCAAGAAGGTACAAGCAAAAATCTAAAAGTAGAGTCAAAAAGATCCAGCATTCATTGCCCTAGGCAGAAAACAAGGTAAAACAGGTTTACATCTATGTCAGCCTAATAGATCCAGCAGGGTCAACTTTGACTTAAGTGACCCCTGCCTTAGGGCTTTTGGTTGAGTAAAAGCTAGTGATTAGTAACAGATTCTATCAGTTTACCAGCTTTCAACCCCTTCTTTATCTATTAGGCTGAAGTAGATGTGTTTATAATACACTGTTTCCAGTTTAGGATGTTGAATGCTGGATCTTCTTGACTCGATGCATAAATTTTGCTTGTGCCTCTGTTTTTATGACTAGGCAACTCATTCTATTATCTCCTAATGAGGGCACAGCTGAAAAATATCATGAACAGCAGTAAAATATCAAAGTACTAACAGTTACATGTTGTACATGGATGGTGTACATGGATTGTATTTTATTTTATACTATTGTAAAAAGGTTTTGTTTAACACCAAAGACCACTATTCTTAGGTCACGAAAATTTGCATTTCATCTCAAAAATTAGGCTCCCGAAACTTTTGTAGAATCTTTAACACTGTCTATAATAAGGGCAAATCTGTTATTTTGCCTCTCTTGCATGGTTGAGCTTTTTTAACTTAACTAAAGACAAAACTGAATTGTTGGCTAAGAACATTTCATCAACCTCATCTCTTGATTCCACTATCACATTTAAAGACCTCATTAAAAATGAAGCAATGCCACATGTTGTATAAATTTAAATCAAAAACAGTCATTGTACACTTGGCTGCACTAATATAATTCAATAATTAGTCAATGTATTTGTCCCCCTAAATTATTAAGTCAATAAATGGATACCTAAATAGTATTTTATATTTGTGCACTTATTATTATTATTACTAATACTACCATTTACAACTTAATATGAATGTTATTAATTTATTTGATTTAAGTTTAACAAAAAATGAAATTGTTTTTTTTTTTTTGTAAACTGAAAATGTAAAAATATTTATTCAATGATGTATGTCATAAATGTCAAACAAACCTTTCTTGTTTCTCCCTGCTCAACTTTGCCACTTGGTCAACAAGCTCACGAATTCTTATATGATCATCTTCTCTCTCTTGAGTAAGAGCATCGACCTGAGATTGTAGGTTTGAATTGGTTTCTTCATATTTACCTGAATTTAGTTTCAATAAAAAAGTAAAGGCATTTACTCTTTTTTGTTTGTTTATTAAGTGATGAAAACTTATAAACTGAGATTGGTAATAATGGTTTTAAATAATTTAAAATCATTTTTATTTGTTATACAAAGAAAAAAAAATGCAAAAATAATAATTTAAAATAGTTAAAAGAAATTTATACAAAATAAATAATTGTTATAGGACAAACAATCAAATAATAAAGGTATTTAACTACACACTATATTGATCGATCAATGAAGAAGACCCTGCCATTTTTTCTTCTAACTCCACTTTGGCTTCGTATATAAGTTCAAACTGCTGTTTTAACTCCTAAAACAAAAATAAATATAAGTAAATAAAATAAAGATAAACAAAATGAATTAAAAACTAAATATTTTTTCTATAATAAAGGCTAAATAAAACTTGTCTCAAACAACTGAATATGTGTTTTATTTTATAAAACAAAAAAAACTGCAATTTATTTTAAACTAGTATTAAAAAACCACATTTAAAATAGCTTACATCGTATTGATTTTTACAAAACTCCAGTTCTCTGATTCTCTCCTTCATTTTTGCATTTTCTGCATTAACTTTGTTAAAATTTTCCAACTAAAGAGCATTACAAATTTATATGTAAAACAAACTCAAAGAATATTTTTAAATATATTTTAGTATTTAGTAACTTGAAATTTTGTTTAGAATTTGTTTCTCATTCGATTTGAATGTGTCGTGATTTTTTCATTTTGAATTTACTCCTGTTTTTACCTGTGTTTTTGCAACATCTAGTTCATCTCTACATGTTGTCACCCATGCAGCTTCAGTTGTCAATCTTTTATTCTATGCAAACAAAAAAATATTATTTATTGACATATCAGAATATAAAGTAAAATTCAGATACATAAGAACTTTTATATTGATTTAATATAATAAAAATAACATCAGTTTATTGCATCATGATCTTTATTTTTTATAGATACCATGGTTTTTATTTTTTATAGAAATCATGGTCTTTAAAGCAAACCTTTGGATTGTATACTTACCATTTAGTTTTTACTCATAAATATTGACTTCTATAAATAACTTTTTGTTTTGCAGTAATCTTAAAAATTTGCCAGTTTTATTTTGTTCATAATGCAAATTTTCTTTTTTTTATTCATCCTTTCTTTGCTCTACCACCCAGCCCATCCCCTTCATTCAAAAAAAAAGTTCAAAAGGGTCCATAATTTGAGGAACAGCTATAATGAAGATATAGATAGAAAATTAGCACTAGTATTTACCAAACTTGTGAATGTATCAAAACATAGTTAACCTTAACGTGCTGTGTTATTATTCAAATAAAATCTGAAAAATAACACAATGCACTTAATTTAGTTTTTACACTATGTTATTAAATATTTACGCTATGCTATTTAGTAAATTACACTGTGTTATTTAGTTTAGAATAGTGATAATTTAGCAAACTACAATATAATGTTGTGTAAATAATGCTTGTTTATAGTTGTTACAAACCACTTTTAACTCTTCAAAACAAGATTTGAAAAAAAAGAACGTTGCGCAGAGAATCAAGTTAAGTGTGTTGCTACCAGGGAATATGGTGGGAATCAAACTCTGAATTTCTTACTTACTAAGTGAACCACAACACTACTGCAACACCGCATTACCACAATCTAACTTAACTAAATTTTTGTATATATTTGGTTGGGTGAATATATATATATATATATATATATATATATATATATATATATATATATATATATATATATATATATATATATATATATATATATATATATATATATATATATATATATATATATATATATATATATATATATATATAATATATATATATAATATATATATATATATATATATATATATATATATATATATATATATATATATATATATATATATATATATATATATATATATATATATATATATATATATATATATATATATATATATATATATATATATATATATATATATATATATATATAATATATATATATATATATATATATATATATATATATATATATATATATATATATATATATATATATTATATATATATACTAATTTTAATGTTTTCATAACACTCGAATTGGTATTTAAAAATAAACTTTGATCATGTGAAACTCAACTAAAACTTATTTTTTTAAAGTTTAACCTCTAACTTGGTTTATGCCTTATGAGATCACCTGATTTTTTATCTTTTAAAGTTTAACCTCTATACTTGGGTTATGCCTTATGAAATCACCTGATTTTTTATCTTTTAAAGTTTAACCTCTATACTTGGGTTATGCCTTATGAAATCACCTGATTTTTTATCTTTTAAAGTTTAACCTCTATACTTAGGTTATGCTTTATGAAATCACTTGATTTTTCAAAACTGTCCTAGAGTACTGCTTCACATTTGCTTCAAATTTTACTGCATTACAATACAAAAATTACTAATGCCTAATAAAATTAATATATTACATTAAACATCGCAAAATAAATGCTGAGTATTTATTTTGTGACCTTTAATGCAATTTAATGTTATTTTGACTTCTTTGCTATGTCCCTGACAAAAATCCATATGATGAAATACAAGGAACTATAAAAAAAGAAGTAGCTAGGCTACAAGCAGTAAATTACAAATCAGATTCGAACACAACACACGCTGTTTACATAGGTTTAAAAAAACATAAAAGGTGTTAACATATTGTATCTTTGAAGGGATGATATTAATAACCATGAAACTTATTTTAACATCCAAAAATGATAAAAAGAGATGTGCACAATTGTGGGAATGAGAAGCTATTGCTGTTTTGTACCATATTATTGTCTATGATACCCAGCACATGGGTATCATAGACAGTATCAAAACTTATTTTGATACTGTCTATGATACCCATGTGCTAAATAATGTAAACTTTTTAAAAAACGATCCTTTGGATTTTTAATCCGGTTAACCCATTGCATGGTTTTCGGTGATGAATGGTACATAGGGTTTGTATTCAAGATTTTTAATGAAAACCAAGATGTTAATGAGAAGTACATATAAAAACAAAAACAACAGAAATTTGATGCATATAAAATCCATAGAAACAAATTAAATTTGAAACAGACTAATGATCCAGGACTAAGTGAATGTAGGGTTCCATTTGACAAAGTCAACTGGAACCTGAAAGAAGTGTATATACAGGAAATCCAAGTATACAAATTTTTGAACAAATTAGTATACTTGGATTTTCTGTATATACACTTCTTTCAGTTAACTGTTTTACTGTTTTTTACTTTTTTTGCAGTATATGTATAAACTTTTTACTTTTTCATTTAAACTAAACAAGCAGCACTGTCAAAAGGCTACAATTATGTCATTGAATAGAGTAATTATCATTGAAAAGAGTAAGAGAGTCCTTAAATATTTTTTATGATAGTTTATATAGATTATTTTAACTTCCACAGTAAAAAGTTTAATAATTTAATTCATACGCTACTTTTTATGCTTACGAAGTGAATTTATCATAATTTTTTTAAAAAGTGATATTTTAACAGGTTGGTGCAGGTGTCAAATTAACTTTAAATCTATAGTTTTGATTTTTACCACAAGTTATTACACATATTCTAATTAAGTAACTAAAAATTGCCTGTTGCATAATTTAGCAACTTTTAGATACAACAACTTAAAAAACTTTTAAAAATTAGTCAAAAACAAAGTAAAAATGGATTTTTTGAATGAAAAACTATAACTATACAAGATTTTAGGTGATTTTTTTTATTTACTAAGTTAAAGTCAGTCAAAAATCAATGTAAGCCAGATATTCAAATTTGTTCCAGTAAGTTATTTAAATTCTTTTTTTACAAGTTTTACATTCCTCTTATACCTTTATCCACAACTAAACTAGGGTTTTAAGGTTAAGCAGTTTTTTCCCCTGGGTAAGTTGCTTTTACCAAAATTAAAGAGCTTTAACAGCCCCAAATATTTTAGAATTTATACTTAAGCTGCTATGAGCAGAATTAGTTTTGAATTTTCAGCTATTTATATACTGAGGATATTATTAAAATCTCTTGTCTAAATTTTAATATGCTCATATCTTGTTAATAATTTGTATTTATTTTAACATGATAAAATTTAATTTTATATTTGAAAAACTAAAATCACAGGCAAACAAAAAACCTGTTAAAGCACCAATATTGTAAATATATTTTACAGCCAGAATCGATTTACTAAGAATCAATTACTACTAGTTTTAGATTTAAATTAATAAAAATTTTATATTAAACTTGAATATTTATTACTAAAACAAAAGTAAAATCTGTCATAGTAACAGTTGCTTTAGCAATGGTTGTTATTGAAATGTATTTATGCATTTTTTTAGTCTCCAGAGATATATATTTGGTCTGTATAAAGCACTTATTTTTTTTAATTATTTTTATTTATATATGCAATTTTATTTTTACAGTAACTAATTTGTTTTTAAATTAAAGTTAAACTAAAAATAAATACTTCACGCCGAATATTATCAAGTTGCTGTTTCAATTGATTAATTTCTTTATTCATTTCAGCTACTGCAACAGATCTGTCATCACTGAAATAAATTAATAATGTTTATATATATTTCAACATAAGTGTGTATATTCAACATATGTGTGTATATGTAAAGTAATGCAATTTTGATGATCATGGTTTTTGTTGGGGGGTTTCAGAACATAAAACAAATTCTTTAAGGTTCCAGAACAAATTCTTTAAGGTTTCAATTTTGGGTTTCAGTAGGTACTATTTAGATGCTAAATACATTTATTATTATAATTAAATAACTATTACATAATTATACATTTATTAATTAAAATTATATTAAATTATAATAAATTACATTTATTACATTAAAACGAACTTCCATTCTACTGTAAACATCAATAAAAAAGCAAACACCAATAATATTAACTTACAGCTCAGACTGCAAATTAAAAACTTTTTGACGATTGGCTTGAAGAATGTTTTGAGAACGAAAACTTGAATGCGGGCTTAGGGATGGATGAGCGTTTGGAGATTCCTTAACATAAATTAAATAAATAACATTGTGTAAGAAGTTCTAAATGTTAAATAAATAAAATAAATAATGGTTACCTTCATTGTGTCCTCATTATTGTTATACAAGGCTAAATCGAGAATAGTCTGAAAAAAACCAATACTAAATTTAATGAACAAATTCTTTCAAAACTTCTGCTATTAAATATAAAATATACAAAAATATACCAGAAAAGTTGAATAAGAATAAAAAGGAACCTCAACATATTCATCTCTTTGTTCTAAAACACGTTGGACCCGATAATACAAATTTAAAGATAGTGGGATTAAATCTCTAAAAATTAAGTATACTTATAATCAATATAATTGCTATTATTTTTATTATAATTGCTATTATTTTTATTATAATTGCTATTATTTTTATTATAATTTGCTAATATAATCTATTGCTATCAATCAAATGAACAATCAAATGAAACATAACTATTATGACATATCAAGACTTTACTTTATAAAACAACTCTTGTTACATCATAAATTCACTGGATACTAAAACATAACTCTATGGACATATTAGGAAATTGCTGACTAACAAACAACTAACTCTAGTGATCAGGAGTAGAAAATCAGGAATTCACTGGATAAAAAAAAAATTACTCTACTGACTTTTCAAAATTTAACTGGACAAGAAACAACTTACTCTAACGACATATCAGGAATATCATTTACTGGATAAGAAATAACATTCTCAGGATTTTCAGTTATCTGGAAAAAAAAGTTAATTCATATATATATATATATATATATATATATATATATATATATATATATATATATATATATATATATATAAGAAAATCTATAAATAAAAAAAAATAACTTTTTATAAAAAAAACTTTAACAAAAAAAGAAAGTTTTAACCTCCTGAATATAAGCCACTAAACCTCTTTGCACTGTAACATCAAGTTCAGTTATGTGTTCAATAAACTTTTCCTTCATTTCACACTATTTGTACAAAAACATTTTTTTTTTTAAATTAAAGATTACATAAAAATTTTAGTTATGCTAACTAATAATAAACCTTGAAAAAAAAAATGAAGAAATAAGTACTTAAAAAAATAAAGAAAAAAGTACTTAAAAAACATATAAAACATTTTTAAAAACTTGTACTCAAATGGTGGAATTGCCTAGTCTCAAAAAATTTTCTTTTTTAATTTTATTTGGTAACAGAGTTTATATAGCTTTAAAATTTTACAAATGATACTGAATTTAAAGGTGTGTGAAATTCACAGAGAAAATCACATTTTTTTATTATGTCTCAATAAATTGGGGCATGTAATTAAACACATGCAATACTAAAATTAGGCATGCGATCACATACCATTCCTGGCCATGTCTGAAGTACACTAAACAGACAGATAAATTCTTTTTACTTGCATTTTGAAAAACAAGTGTATTAAACAGAACTATAAAAAACCAAGTACATTTAACAGACATATAAAAACAGAACTATATTTAACTTTAAAAATTGCAGTTACAAATAAACAGTACAAACAAAAAAATATCAAACTGCTTATGGTGTCACAATACTTCCTAACTGAAGCATGGATATCCATGTACAAAACCTCACAAAATCATTGTTAATAAAGTACCTGAATAGCGCATCCCAAAATCAAAAGAAGAATTGAACTCATCTCTGAATATGATAATTCTAAAATTAAAATCTAGAAACATTATGTTTTTAATATTTAATTTTTATATGTATGCATAGTTAAAAGTAACTATATTTGCTTCATTGGCTAAATTACTTGTTACAAACTTGTTTGTTACTAGTGTGTAACAGCTAAAACAAGACAAAGACAAGACAAAAACTTATATAGGAATATAAAATAAAGGTAAAAACATAAAGGTACAAACATAAAATAAAGGTAAAAATATCATTTATGGCTATAAAATATTTGGTTACTATTATAACTGACTATTGTCTATGTGTTTAATAATGACATTATGAACAACAAAAACTTTATTCAGTGTATTTATAACATATTAAATATGTCATAATATTTATAACATATATTAAATATAAACTTTAGTTTACTGCACATTTCAAAATAAAATTTATTTAAGCCTGTAATGATTAAACTTTGTAAAATTATTTAAAAGTACATTCATCTTATTCGTAACATAATTTGAACTTAAAATGAACTTTTTAATACAAATCTTGACTGATTTCTTTATTTGTTATCTTGTTTTTGACTACTCTAATAAAAAGAAAATTTAAACTTTTTTTTAAAAATTTTTTTCAAATTTATATTAAAAGAATAAATACCGTTTTCTGGTTCTTTAGCAAGCAGAAGAACATCAGGCATTTTCATTACAATCAGCTGTTGAAGTTTCTCCTTAATTAAAAATAAATAATTTAGTGTTTGTTTTATTATGCAAAACAAAAAGAGAATTTCATAAGAATTGCAAGCATAATGATGATGAGAGTCAAGATAAGCTAGAAAAACTGGGTTTTTATAGGACTTGTGAAACTTTCCAAAAAGCAAAAAGAGTAAAAAATTAGATTACTGATCGGACTTAAAACCTTTGTTGATGTAGCAACCCTCCTTGAATATTGTCCTTATTTAGTCATTTGATGTATGTACTGAAGCTCCCAGAACCCCTATATTTTAGTATGACATCAGACTACTTATTAAACATAAAATGACATTTTAACAACCATAATATAAACTTAAATGGTACATTAATATGTTTGCAATAATGGCATTTTGTCTACTATGTTTTTTATGGTATTCTGTTAAATTGAGGAAAAAATAGCACAATTTAAACATTTTTGCATCATATTAGTTGATCAACAACAAATCTGACCTTATCAAAATCCACAAGCAAACATTTGTAAAATAAAAAATAAAAATAATACTGCCTTGTAACAGCAACTCTCTTTATATGGTGTATTTAGAAAAGTTTTTGAGATTATCAAATTATTTCTTTTTAACCGCTTTATAAAGTCATCTTCGTAAGTCAACACTACGAAGTGACTTACGAAGATGACTTTATAAAGCAACACTTTTTTTCATTTCCAGTAACTTCAGGAGTACCTCAAAGTTTTATCCATGGTCATATTTTGTTTTTTTATCTACATTAATGATCTGACAACTATACATCTAAAGTGGCTCTATTTGCTGAAATCTCAACTTTATACTCATGTCTTGACTAAAGTCTTTTCTTTTTGATGGCTAAGAACAGGCAGCTAATCTTGAATCTGATATCATTTTAAGAACAAATTGGGGCTTGCAGTGGCTAGTGAATTCCAACTCCAACAAAACTTAGTTATTTACTGCAAATAACTATTCCAATACTGTTGACATTTCTATATTAATGAACAGCAACTTAGCAATCCATTGCTCACAGGGGTGGGACGCAAAATGTGAACGTTTTTGTTTTATTATAACTATTTTCTCGTTAGATGTAGTTGTACTCTCTCACTCATCAGAAAGTGTCTAAAGAGTTGGTCTAAACGTTGTAAAATGATCTACGAGAATCAAGGAGGTCAAATTGAACATTTAAAATAGTTCATATTTAACAGAAAATTAATTATTACAATCAGAAAAGTGTTCACATTTTGCGGTCCCACCCCTGTAAGTTAGCATCTGCTAAGGCTACTTCTCTTTATTGTGTCTGCCATTATCTTTTGATTTGGTTCTCTACTTCTATAAATCTCTTATTCATCCCTGTATGGAATACTGTTGTCACATTTGGACTGGTTTTTCAAATGATGCTCTTTCTTTTCTAAACAAAGTCAAAAAATGTAAATATAGTTTGACCTGCTTTGCCTGCCAGGCTTGAGCTTCTCCTTCATTGTCATAAAGTTGCACCTCTTTCTTGTTTCTACAAATATTATCATGGTTGATGCTAAAAAGAGATATCTTCTCTAGTTCCTGTTTTCTAGTATCCTTTCTAGTTCTATCAACAAAAAAACTTATTTTTACTTGACTATCATTCAGCAAAGTAACAATTTTTTACTGTATCTGTCACTTGATGCTCAAAAAATTTTGATTTTTCTACTTTTTTTTCCCCTGCACTTTAACCTTTTGGAACTCTCTTTCTCATCTTTGTGTTTTCCTGACTCATACAACCTGTGGTTTTTTTAAGTCTTTTGTCAACTGCTTCCTTGTACTTTAACTCTATTCTTTGTTTTCTAGTAACAGTCAACACAAGTAATGCTTTATTTTTGTTACAGCTTTAACAATTTAATACACTTTTAAAATAAAATGTGTTTTATTGTCAGTATGAACAGGATATTAACAACAACAACAACAACAACAACAACAATAACAAGCTAAATATTCTCTGTAAATTATTTTACAATAGTTTTGATAAAAATGATAATAATAATAATAATAATAAAAATAATAATAATAACAACAACAATAATAATAATAATAATATAATAATAATATAAGATTAAAAAAATAATTATACAAGTTATAGTAATAGTAATAGTAAAATAGTAATAGTAAAAGTATGTTTACAACAATTACAATGAAAAAATAATAATAATAACTAATATTAATATAATAATAATTCAATGATTTATTAGGATGGTGTCACTCATACAGAAATCTGATCAAAGGACACTAATTTTTAATATAATATAAGTAATAGTAAGCAAAGACACACACTGAAACACATGGACCATAAACACACAAACCAAAGCACATAAAATATACATCAAAACAAACATGTAGAAATCAATTTGCAGGTTTTACTAATAAAAATAATAATATTTAAATCATAAGGATAATAATGCCAAAAAAGTTAGAATAAAAATTTTTTTAGAATATTTTTAAATTGATATTGTTTAAGATGGAGTAAAGGTATTTTAGGATATATTTTTTTGGACTCATTCAAAATGCATGCAAGGCTCTTGTTCCATTCACAGACGCGCTGATAAACAATAGAATGTTTACCATACTTCTGGGTTTTAAAAGATGGTACATTTAGTTTTCCATTGTGTATATTTCTAGTCGAGTAGGAATTTAATAGTCTACTTTCTGTGAACAAGTTTGTGATAGGAGATGGTATGTTTTTATTTAAGGAGTCAAAAACAAAAAGAAGATTAGCATACTTTACTAGCGCTGGAAATGTTGGAATGAAAAGTTTTTTGAAGGACTTCGATGTATCTGATTTAATTGGTCGGAAGTTTATTAATCTGATGGATTGACGCTGAGACGATAACAACTTGTTAATGTGATAGTTTCCAACTTGACCCCAAACTTGACAACAATAGCTAAGATGAGATAAGAATAATGCATAGTAAATACTCCTAAGTGTAACTTTATCAACATAATGACGAATTATTGAAAGCATACCATTAGCTCGAAATTAGTTTATCAATATGAAAGTTCCATGAAAGATTGCAATCAATTAAAACACCAAGATATTTAATAACTCTTGAAGGATATAGCCGTTTATTATAAATTTTGATTTTGACTTCAACATTTTTAAAGAAATTTTTTTTTCTTGAAGATGAAAAAAAAATTAGTTTATTTGTTTATTTGGTGTTAAGACATATTAGGTTAGCATTTAACCAGCGAACTATACCTTTTAGATACAAATTGACATTTTTACATAGAAAATGATACGGTTTGTTGATGTGCAAGAGATTTGTATCATCAGCAAACAGATGGACTGAAGAGAAGTGAACAGAGTTGATTAGGTCGTTAACGTAGATTAAAAACAAAAGGGGACCTAGAAAAGAACATTGAGGAACACCACACAAAACTGATTTATAACTAGAATTGAAACCATTAATACTTACAAATTGTTTTCGATCTGAAAGATAAGATCGAAACCAGTCATTTACAATACTGCGAATTTAGAAATCAAAATACCATGGACAACGGTATCGAAAGCTTTTTGTAAATCGATAAAAACACCACAAACGAAATGACCAGTATCAAGAGCTTTGCTGATTTTTTCTATTATACTTATTAATGCATGGCAAGTAGAATGTTTTGATCGAAAACCAAATAGAAAATCATTTAAACAATTAAATGAGTTTAGAAAAGAGTTCTAGAATACATAAGTTTTTCAAGAAGCTTACTAATGTTACATAAAAGAGAAATAGGTCTGTAGATAGTGTGTGAAAGTTTAGAGCCATTTTTAAATATTGGAATAATGCAAGATAATTTCAAAATATCAGGAAATTTTCCATTTATAAATGAGGTATTAAATAATTTAGAAAGAATATTTATAAATTAAAATAGTTTAGAAAGAATATTTGAAAAATCGTAGATTTAAATCGTAGAAAAATATAGACTTTAAAATCTATAAGAATATTTGTGGGAATGCTGTTTGGACCTAATGATGTTTTTGTATTAAATTTAGATATAAGAGATGAAAATTCAGAAATATTTGTTGGAGATAATAATAAACTATGTAAACTTGGATGTTTAAGATATTTTTGATAGTTAATGTAAGATGAATGAATATTGGATTTGAGTTTATGAGCAACATTTGTAAAAAAAGTGTTAAATGATTCAGAGATTAAAGTTGGGTCAGTTATATATGTATCATTTTTTTTGCAAACAGTTGAGAGATGATTTATTTAAATTTTTTAAATTAATTAGAGTGTTAATACCTTTCCAAAGTTCGCAAAAAATTTTAACATTTTCTGAGAAAAAATTTTTTAAAAGGTTTTTTTTTACTAAGTTTAATTAATGTAACTATTATATATTTATATCTTTTAGAAATACTTTCAAATTTTTTTTTATTAATAAGATCATTAGATTTTAACATTTTTTTTTTGGAAAAGATTGCGCACTTGAATAGATTTTATAATTTCTTTTGTAATCCATGGTTTGAATCGACGTTTGAAGTTTTTATACATATTTTTTTAAGTAGGGCGATCTAAACGATCTAACGATCTAAAATTAATGTTGTTTCAGTAATAAACGTTTGGAAACACCAGGCTTGGTCGGGAAGCGGAAGCGATCGCTCTTGAATACTGACCACAGAAATTATATTTAGTTGGGAAAAACTGGCCAGGTTTTTTAGTTGTTTTGAGAACATTTAAATTTATGTACAAAACAAAATATTTTTGCTTTACGGACATACATGGAAACATAAAAAACTTGAATGTTATTAAAACGACTTGGTACGGAAGAATAAAAAGAATATTCACGAACACTAAAAACCCGCCAAATTAACGAACAAACTAATTCTATTGGTTCAAAAAATATGCTGACTAAGCGAAATAAAGTTCTAGAGTATTCTGTTAAAATCTTTTAGAAATTGTATGTTTTAGAAATTGTATAATTGTTGAAATCTTTTAGAAATTGTATCTTTTAGAAATTGTATAATTCACAATTTGTTACGTTTTGAGATTATAAGC